TATTTACCAGTAGCACTCTTCATGGCAATGGTCGCAACACTGTTGACAAGATTGTGAGCCTCCCGCTCAGCAGCCTCTCCTTTGTGCCTTTCCGAGGCCCCGGTGACACTGTTCTGCTTCCCATGACCCCCAGTTGCCGAATTCTCCAAGTCAGTAGACACTGGAGATGGGCCAGGGAAAAGCGCCCGACGGAGTGGCGGACACAAAATCAGTGCAATTAAGAGCCCCGACAGTGTAAAGATAACCACATCAAACAACCAGGCGATAAAATAACCCTGCAAGCATTAGATTTGACCCCGTCTTGAGAATTCTGCATCATGCTTACTGCACAGAAAATACCCGTCCGTCGTGGCTCTCTCCACGAGCGTAACCGGGCGATATGTCTGCAGAAACCCACCACCCCAATCACGACCGACGTATAGAAACGCTCGATCGTGATCCGAAGCTTCTCCGGTGGAAATTGCTCCTCCTGCGCCCTGTTCAGATCGAGATCCTCCGAGGCGGTATTGGCTGCAGCCTTGACATGGTATATTTGCTTTCGGGGGTCAACACACCGCGATCGAACAGACTGTCAGTAATCACTTACTTTGTTAAATCGCCGGATGAGCATCCACAGGTCTTCATCTGACAGTCCTGTCGTTAAAGTTTCCGTGGTAGCTTTAGACGCTGGTTTGGGGCGATTTCTGCCAGCATCGAGTTTCAGGACTGGGCCTGCTGGTCCTGGACCAGAAGGAGGGGTAACGTCATTTTTATCTTCGTGCCTTACTTCATCTTTGAAATCGCCTGGAATATCTATCTGAGACATACTGGGATGCGGTTGTGGTAAGCAGGGATGTGTCAGTGTAACCGTCAACGTCCAGATAAGATCTGGGGCCAGCCTTGACCATCCACGGGTCGCGCAACGGAGCCTGAAGGGTGGGGCATCCACACGTCATCGGCCGGAATATCTGGGGGTTGGTCACTGGCCACAAGTGTTGATTTTGATATTTTAATTGAGTTCTATTAGAATGCTACTGATAATCGATGCTATTTCTCTTGTGTCTAAGAGGTGAAGTTCAGTACTCGACTCTGTTCTTCATTGTCCACCCTCTGTGTACATATATATATAATGGTGGAGGTTGTCAATATGGAGGAACCAAGGAGATACAATACAATAAGAACCAGCACTGGAAGAATTATCTTGATACTGTGAAGGGGCTACTAAAGTTGCCACTCTTCTGGAGGACAATTATGTTTCATACTTTCTTCTTCGTGGCATGGCTAGAAAACATAAGCGGTCCCGCCACAGTCAACATCAGTACAAGCGCACCCTTCTGCATTACAATATCTGATAAATTATTTAAACGGTATATAGCTCGCTTATTACAGTAAGTTTTCTCCTCTAATTCTCACCCCCAAGGCTAATCACAGATAAACATAGCAGAATGGCCCACCAGTCGTATCCAACAACTGCCGGATAGTCTGCGGCGGAGCCAGCACACTGCTTATATCGACAATATCATCGAGAGTAGCATTGGGCGCGTCCGGCACCAGAGTGGGAAGGACGGTCTGTCCTGCCACGACATACGTCCGCGCCTTGGGGTCCTGGTTCTGCCACGTCCAGAAGACACGGTCGATGGCGGCGTGGTGGAGGTAGAAAGCAGGGTCACCGGGGAAACGAAGAAATCCTATTGCATACGCCATTAGCTTTTGGTTTTAGACCTCAACGGAAGAAGGAACAATACGTACACCAGCAGGATCACCGCCAATGGTATAGTGGCCGCCGCTGTGGATACCCAGGTAGCCGTTAGGGTAATCACCCTGCATTCTATTCTGAAAGTCAAAGATGTTGTCCTGCTCATCGATCAGATCAACCACGTGTTTGGTTGTTGTCCAGCTCGCTGCATCCTCAGAGATATCACGGCGGAGACAGCGGGGGTTGTAGTTCAGTCCGGAGCCGTTCTGAGCGACGATTCCTGGGACCTTGAGACTGGGGAAGACGGGGCCGAGGTTGACGGTGAAGCTGCACCCCTGTTAGCTAGTCACTTGTGTTACTAGATGTGCCGACACCTTACTTCTTGAACGGGCCGGAGAAGATACAGCCACCTCCGTTTCCAGGAGTCAGAACGATACCGGGGGCAGCCTCGGAACCATTGTGCGGGATGTATGATCCGTCTCCGGACATACTGTAGTCAGAGCCATCGAACATGGGAGAGTTACGCGGGTCATCGGTGTACTTGTTCCAGGCCCAGTATGGCTGGTAGCCGGTGTAACCGCATTCGTTGCGGAGGGCTTGTTCGTAGGCCCAGGTGAAGTAACGGTGCCATGTCAGAAAGTTGCCCTGACGTCGACATTAGCTCAAGCATTTTCTCTGGACATTGGAAACATACAGTGCCGTGGATAAACCATGTCTGGTTGATGTGGACAGCAACAAAGTCATCATAGCGAGAGCGCGCGCCAGGGGCAAATGTCGGATCCAGTTTCGAAGGCTTAGAAGCGAGACACAGCACTGCGTCAGTGTACTCTTTGCGCTCCTGTTTCGAGAGAGAGCCCCTGCGAATCCAGCGTTAGTGGGTCCTCTCCAAATACTGCGACACGGGGCTGATTCACCATTCTCGGCGAACCGTTGCGGTAAGAGGGGTGCATGACTTGCTGGCATCCGGGTTGGAGAAGTGATAGAGAACCTGATTGATAAGTGCTTTTCCCGCAAGGACATCCCACTGGTCAATGCTAAAAGCTGCAGTGGGCGCAACTGCAGCCAAAGCCGCAATTGTTGACAGCACTGTGAACCGCATACCGAAAGCTTTTCTGATCGACAAGGACAAATTGAAGGATTTGGAGAGGACGATCAGGAAAGGGTGAAAAAAAAAAAAAAAAAAAAAGAAAAGCTTCGCTTGATTTCCGGCTATTTAAACATATCGCTGGGACAAAATCGATGCCTGGACAACGTGGATTTGTCGGCGCCGAAGCATATGAATAACTGTCTGCTTAGAGGCAAGCTAAGGGCAAATTAGTATAATATTAAGTGAACGGACCCAAGACTAGACAGAGCTCTAGAACTATTGGCAAGCACTCATGTTTAGCTTATGGTAATTCAGTGAACTTGGGAAACTGAACTGCTATGTCCTGTGGAGCGAGATATGCATGGAAGGCTTGATAGTCTGCCTTGATTAATATTACCCGTCTATATTATTGCGTCTAAAATCCGACCATTTTCGGACCATACAATGCCGGAAGATCATATGCAGTGACAGCAGTGACAGCAGTCAATGCAGATAATTCGCGACTTCTGAGGTTGAAGAGAACGCACTCCCCTGTTCCATTAGGGTTACGGCCAGCCTGCCACTGTCAGCAACAGATTGAATTGAGTCAAGGGAATCCACAATTTTTACAGGGGTTCATCTTCCACTTCCGGACTTTTACTAAAATGTTTCGGACAATTGTACTGTTCAATTGCACTGACTCGTTCTCGAGCATAGGCCCGGCCAATGACGGGAACAGAGAGTTCAAGGATAGGACACTATCTCACAGTGGCACCATATCCACAGGACAACTCATTATTGCTGAGAGATAACTTGAGCTAAACTCCTGCGCCGCACAAGGTAGATAACCAGGTAAACCAGGTAAACCAGGTTAAATTCTTCCACTTTCTCCGGTGAAGGCGAAGGGACGGCACACTAGCGTCCGGGACTACTCTAGTGGCATTGCGTGGCACATTTCCATAATGCCCATTTGCCTACGACATATTTAGCCCTCGCCTATGGATCAACGGACCCTGATTGACCGAACGCTACATTTGCACTAAGTGGGGGTTTTCTCGGTGCCATTTATAACTTACCAATCTCCGACCGTCGCTATTCTCCTCTTGGGTGAATCGCCCGCTGCTGGTGGAAAATACCCCGTACTATCTCCAGATCGAGTACTTAGTCGACATCTTGTCGACAGGGTTCATGGAACCTGGCCTCTAATAATCACGGACAGTAAATGAAGTGAAACCGACATCGGCTCCGTCCGATCTCGTATTGGAGGATGGACTATGGAGACGCTACTTGTTAAGATTCTATGGCATTTTCCCGAACCGGTCATCGATTACTCCAGCGGAGTCAAGGAAAGCGAGGGCTCCCGGGTCCCCGGCTTAGCATTGGTATTATCTAGTATAGCCTGGATAAAATTGGCCTCGTTGAGTTGGAATGAATTCAGCCTATGCTTCTATCTCAAACCGGGCTACTGCAACTAGTTGGCTAGAGGCGACGGAGTACGTCCACAATGCCGTTGTCATTAGTATTATTATGTGTTCGCGTCAGCTAGTTGCCGGAGGAGATTACTCTCTTCATCACTCTGTCCCGTGTGGGCTGATCTGCCTTTGATTCTACCGGAAAGAGCGACTTTTCTCGGTAACAGAAGTGGTCAAAACGTGCTGTACATTTTGTCAATGCACTCTTATGGTGACAATTGGCATTCCTCGATACAGTGACATGAGTTGTGGAACAATCTCTATGTCGAAATAAGGGATTCAGCAACATACTTGCAGGCCCCAAAGGGATACCACTTGTCTCTCGTCCAGCTGTCTTCCCTCTGGAGGTGGCAATTGAACCACAAGCAAGAATTTTCTTGCCTGTTCGAAGGAAGCTAGACCACGGCTGGCCACTTGGTCCCCTGTCTAGTTTGCATCTCGTGCACGCACTATATTGGCTATAACACTAGTCTGATTCATGCCAACGTGCCGAGAAGCAGTGTATTCACCTGCGTCGGGGATTCGGACGACCCCTGCTCTTCTTGTTTCCTCCTTAGTAGAATTTTTAGGGAAAGAGAAGATGAAGGACTGAACTCCGCTGGTATCTCAGCGAGACTGGGAGCACCGCCTTCTCGAGAGAGTAGGCCGACTATCTGAATCTTAATTAGTGAAGTGTATCCTTGCCCCTGTCCGAGACCATGCCGTGTCTCTGTGGCAAAACGGGGCAGCATATGTATTCCACTGGAAAGCTAGCTGAAGAATCTCTCGTGTCCTCAAACGCTGGGATCCTATGTTGGTCTTACAGAAGTGTAAAACTTTAATTTTGATACCTCTCGTGCGCTTTGTAGCTGCCGAGGGTCTTAGTGCCGGGTGGAAGCCATCTTTCTGTCGATTGTTCCTGCATATCGACTAGACCAACCGAAATCTCATTTCCTCCATAAGAGGGCAGAGGTATCCCAGACTCTTGAGCCCCAAAACGCATCGTACTGTCTTGCACGGTTGCACCGATCTCCGCGCGATTGCCTTCCCCACGCGGAATATAGGTGGATCTCGTCCCCGTTGCCATGAACGGCTCCCGATAAAGATCGACAAGACCCAAGAATTGAAAGGAGCGCGATCTTGATCGGACGGACTCGAGATGACGAGTCCAATTCACCAGACGTTCGAGGCCTTGGTTCCCCGGCAATCGACGCCTACATTCGAATTCCCCCTCCATACAAGAGGCCCTACGAATGCGCCTCGCATCCTCGCCATTGTGGGCTTTTTGACAGGTCTATCGGCCTTGTTGGTTGTGCTGCGCTACTACGTGCGATTATTCATTCTGCGAAGATTTGACATTGAGGATGGGATCATCCTTATAGCCCAGGTAGGTTGTGGTCTTCAGACAGCCTTTGACAGGCAGTACTAACCATATCCATTGCTGATAGGCATGCGCTTTTGGTGTCCTTGGATGCTTTATTGGAGAGACACACCGTGGACTGGGCCATTACAGCCGCGATATTGGTTTGGAGGATTTGGGGCCATTGTCCAAGTGGACATTTTTCCATGCAATTGTCATTGTGTTGGGGATAAGCTCGGTCAAGATATCGCTCGCTTTCTTTTTGCTGCGATTCGCATCACAGAATAAGTTTATCAAAAGGTTCATCATCGGGGCGCTCGGTAAGGTCGAAATGGCATGCTAAAGATACTTGACGGATTGCTGACTGTGCAAAGTTTTCCTCATACTTTTCACGATTGCCTGCATTCTAACACTGATATTCCAATGTATACCTGTCAGTGCAGCGTGGGATTATACCCAAAAGGCTACAGCAACGTGTTATTCAAGCAAAACCTACCTAGCTATTGGCGAATTCAACAGTGGTAAGTTTCCTCTTTCTGTTCTGAAAAGAATGGGGTTGCTGACAGTGCCTCCAACAGCTATCAATATCGTTACCGACTTTGTTTTCGCAACTCTGCCGGTTTTCATGTTCTATAATATCCAGGTAAACAAGCGCACTAGAGCCTCCCTAATGGGGATTCTTAGTCTTGGATACTTGTGAGTTGTCTCGGCCCAAAGTCCTGATAGTATACTCATGGGATCCCAGTGCATGCGCCGCAGCTATCGCCAAAACAGTTTACCAAAGTCGAGTGTTCGAGGAGCAAGACGGGTGGCGGTAGGTTGATTACCCGGTTTCAGTTTCAGTCCCTTACAGAGGCTAACTTGCGTTCCGTGGCTCAGTGACCCTAAATTTCTCATATGGAACTGGTATGTTTACCTCTTTTCTTCGACACCCAGCATGGAATTGACATGTTCTACAGCGTTGAGCTCAACGTTGGCATCATCGCCGCCTGTTTCCCCACGATCAAACCCCTCGTCAAGTCTGTCATCGGAAGCACTTGGAGTTTAGCCAGCAACTCCCGCTCGCGAAAGCGAACAAACAACGCTTACTACGGACAGTCATCGAGCCATGCATTGGGCTCCATAAGACGCAGCCGGTTAGAGCATGAAGCGCAGAAGTACAATGTGCATATCGATGCTGTTCGAACATCCTTGTCAGCGTCTGAGGGGGAAGCGAGGAGAACTTGGCGGCTCATCCGTCTCATCCCCGTCTTCAGCGTTTGTCGTCCTCGAGAATACTGCGCACAACAGAAGTAATCGTGCACTCTGAGGGGGGAAGCGATGCGGTTGGGCTAGGTATAGGGCCCAAGCGGTCAGTGGACGATCGAGTATAGCCACGATGTATGACAAATTCCCGAGACATGACCATGACTTTGTTTCCAGAATATATCTCAAAATCATATGCGAGTCTTCTTTCATGAGTCATATTGTCGATGGGCTCCTGTCTTGCCCTCTATTCTGGGGGCTGAAACTGACTGTGAAACTGATTGTAGCCTTCCATGTAGCCTTCCGTTGAGAGATCCTCCAGGCTCATAGTGATGCTGATGCAAGTCTCAGGAAGGTATCACTGTCACCATAATCCCTTCAGTCGTATCTCGTTCAGCTTTATATTACAGCCTTAGGCGAGAAAATGAGCCACGTGACCCTACCTCTCCGTCGTCTTCGCCGCTTCCTTCCAGTTTGCACTGTTCCAAGCTCAAGTAGGTCTGCACCTTCTGCTCATCCTTAGACTTGTTCTTGAACGCTCCAGATGAACCCTGTCTCCATCGGAATGTAATCCGAGTCTCCGAGGTGTCTCGCGAATCACAACATGGGAATCTCACTTTTAATAGCCGCGCGAATGACTGTACCTTGGCGTTGGTAAGCGAGCCAACCATAGCACGCGCTAGAAAAGCACGTGCCTTCGGCTCGCTTGGCGGCAACTTTGAATCTCTCCATCTCGCGTTCGATCCAAATTGCTCCACATCGAAAGTTCCTGCGAGAACCTTACGCCACTTGGCCGTGGTTCAAGATCTTCGCAGCGGACACACTGGGTCAGATGGAGACAATACGCGCGGAGTCGGTTTGTCCCCATTTGAGGTCTCCACATTCAACACTCAAGTGCCCATATCACGCCGCGTTCATTGCAGCATCGGCGTTATGGGGGAGGACGCAGCAAGGTTGCCGGTGCTCGCCCCTGCTTCCGTTGGCACACCGCGAGCTGTGGGGATATCAACTTTCGAACGTCGCCGTCACATCGCTGTGACTGCTTGCGCGGAGTGTCGTGCCAAGAAACGTAAAGTAGGTTTCAACTAGACGTACCCAAACCCCTAGCGGTGTTGACTTTCTTTCCACCATCAGTGTAGCGGGAAAAGTCCGTGCGCGGCATGTGTGTCGATGGGCAAAGAATGTCTGCTTGACGCGGAGGGCAGTCAGCGCCGCCTAGTCAGCACTAAACGACGAGGCGGTGAAATGGCGAGTAAGAACTCGACTGTGAAGAAAAAGGTGCAACCGCTGGAGAACGAGGCCCAGTCGTCAAGTCGCCATCCACCAGATGTGTCAACGGCGCATGCCGAGGCCGGCAAGATGGCCGTGATTAGGTACGAATCTAGCGAGACACGCGCGTGTGATGTTCAAGGCACGGCCTCGACAGATATCGTCGAGAACACCGGGACTGATTCAGTCTCTATGCTGAAAGATAGCTCTTCCGATCGGTCAACAGAAGACTGGAACAGCATCTGGGCTATATATGAGAGAGTCCGCAACTGTGCACCGGCAGACCTCTCCAATGTAGTCAATGCCATCCGCAGTAGCTCGGATCCGACACTAGCAGCGCAATATTTGCACCAAGTCTCCCTTGGCCGACTCGCTGATGCCCACGTCGGCTTGTCGAACTTAGCAACAGAGTACAAGCTGATAAACTCACCGAGGCTGCAGGCCCTGTGCGAAGAGCCCATCCTTTTCGCTCCTGCAAAGCCATGGACGAAAATCACTGACAGTGACCGGCTGGTGTCTCATCTACTTTCTCTATATTTTACCTGGGATTATCCCTGCTACACGTGGTTTGATCAAGATTTGTTCTTAGCTGATATGATAGCTGGTCAGTCGAGGTTCTGTTCACCACTCCTTGTAAATGCTATATTAGCTCACGCCTGTGTAAGATGAGCCTTTCTGTCCCTCAACCTCTGATTTCCTGACGGAATTTGCAGCTATACTCCTATAGTCTCCGTAGACCGTGGGATCGTTTCAAGGAGATGGATATGTGTATCCGCTTCCTGTCGGAAGCCCGGCAGCTCTGGATATCACATCCACAGCCCACCTTGACCTCAATCCAGGCACTGGTTGTCATGAACCTGACCTACAACTGCCTGGGTAAGGACAAGATCGGCTGGTCCTGCCTGGCGGCAGCGATCCACATGGCAAATGAGCTCAAATTGTATGAGCCGTTGTCTGGTGTCCGCAGCGCAGGGTTGGTTGAACCCGCCTGGAATAGAGCCCATGCAGTCACGGCCTGGGGCCTTTTCGAGTGGCAAGCGTAATAACAGCCCCCGTTGAACTTCGTTTGCACCATATCTGACCTCGTAACAGACTCGTGGCAAGTGTAGTTGAAGATGCTCCCCGTCTGGAGCACCCGCCCTTTTATGAAATCCCCTATTCAGACGCCGAGTTTCTCGACCATAGTCAACGCTGGCACCCCTATCCTTTTAGTGGTCCCCTTTACCCGTCGCGTCTCTTCTCAACGGTCAGAGCCAGGTTTGAGTTGAGCATGGTTATCAATGACGTGACCGAATTCATTTTGGATTCCCATCATGTCGCTCCTACTGTCGCGGCCTTTATGTTAATCCACGAAAGACTCGCCAACTGGTTTGTCGAACTAAGTCCCGCACTTCATCCTTCAAAAGACGCAGCGCCACACATCTTCATCATGCAGTAAGTCACATTAACCCCTGCCACAATCCTTACACTGTCGCTTACAACCATAGCCTCCACTTTCACCTCAGCGTAGTCGCCCTCTGCAAGCCCATCCTCAGCTCAGGAGGGGAACCCAACCCCTCCGTCCTCAGCATCGCCAGCAAAGCCAAGCTCGCCACGCGCGAGATCATCTTCCTCTTCAAGCAGACCTTCGGCTGGAAATCCGCTTCCAACTTCCTCAACCACGCCCTCACCTACGGCGCCTTCAACGCCATGCCCTTCGCCAAGGACGGCGATCCGCGCTGGCGCCAGTCCCTGGAGACTTGCATCAGCGGCCTCTGGTACATCTCTTTTTCCTTCCCCGTGTGCAGGTACCTGCTGCGCGCGATCCAGCATGCGCTTGCTGCGGCGGGGTTTGCGGATACAGATCTTTGTCCCGAGGTTACCCGCATCCTACGATATTTTGCGCGTAATGTGTGGAAGAAGTCTCTGCTTGATACGTTGCAGAGTCGGTATCCGGTTTTCGATCAGCAGAATAGCTTACGGACGGTGGAGGATTTGCTTCTGTCGGTTGAGAGTTTGGCTTTGAATGATGAACATGGCTGATTACGTGATCGTGCGATATAAATAGAGTGGTTGGCTGGTGAGATATCATCGCCTTATGTATTTTACTTGCGGCGCCCCTGAATGAGAAACTCGTTAGTTTATACCAGGTGATTTGTTGCGCTCTGCATTCTAAAGAATCATGCCTCGTGTTTCGTTGCCAGACGGACACGTGACCCTGCGGGGTGGCCGGGGTGCTCAGCCACGGCCAGGCATCAACAACCCTTGCAGAGCTCGAAATAATCAAATAGTCTGACTCTAGCTGGGAAGCATATTAAAGAACCAGAATATGTGAGAGCTATACTATGTACTGCAGCAAAACCACCAAACATATGCCCACCATGGAGCCGGGCGATGTCCCTCCAACCTACAGGATTGATCTCTCTCGCCCCCCAGCAGAGCGATACGTTGAAGTTGCCAAGAAGTATCGCAACGAGCTCAGGTCGCTTACAGCTCTCTTCGATAGCCTGGTCGAGAGCATCGCACCCAGTACCTCGCTGGAATGGGTCAAACGCCTCGCGCGCTTATTCTTGCGCCGCGTATATTCCGACGAAGAAACGGAAGAGATCCGGGTATCAGCCAGGCAACCGGGATCGAGATGTATCTGATCGTCTCACTGAATGTTCTCCTCGATGTGCTGATGGGTTGCACGAGCGGTGCGGCCCGGGCACAAGACAAGGATATGACGTCTCGCATGCTGCATTTCCGAACGCTGGATTGGGGGATGGATGCGTTGCGGCGCGTGCTCGTGCAGTTTGAGTATGTCCGCGGGCCGGATTACGAGACCGTGCTGGCGACGAATATCACCTACATTGGGTTTGTGGGTGTGTTGACCGGTGTCCGGAAGGGGTTGAGTGTTTCGTTGAATTTTCGACCGAACCATGATTTGGGTGGGTGGTTGGGTGATTTGCGGTTCTATGGGAGCCATCTTCTTGTTATGCTGGGCTTGAGGAGATCGATTTCGTCGATGCTGAGGCAGTATATCATTCCGCGGGAGGATCCACGGGGGACTTTGTTTGGTCGCATGCTGGGCGTATTGGTCAAGAGACGTCAGAGGGTTGAGAAACCGACACTGAGCAGTATCTGCCAGCAGGTTATGCGCACGCCATCTACAGCGTCGTACCTGGTTTTATGTGACGGCGCTGAAGCCGCTATGATTGAAAAGGATCATCGGACCGCGAGGATGGACTCCAGTTCATCGTTCATCGTTGCTACAAATAACGACTTCCTCGGTTCAGAGCTTCCTCCGAAGGAAGGGGACACCGATATATCTTTTGGCGCGGCGCTGACCAGTGGAGAGCCCATCTCGATGACCGACTTCATCCAAGATAGTAAAGAGCGAAGAGCATGTATGCAAGCACACTGGGACAAAAAGGTGGCTCAAGCTGGAAGGTCGGCCCACGGTGTGAAACCACGTCATGATCCTTTGCGTCGCACACGCTCCTCTCGAAGTCGAGTGGCAGATCCAGTCGGTTCGACATCTACCTCCTTGGGCAAAGAGAGTGCAGGCACATTTGAGAACCATGAGGTAGCCGCCACACCGGCAGAAATAATACAGTGGACGGCGGCATATCCAACAACCAACGAGATGACGCATTTCTCAGCGGTCATGGATCCAACAAGTGGAAGGGTCATCTGGATTCGGAGGTTCCGTGATCCTCTCGATTTCCATATGTGGTAATCTCCTGGAGAGGTACCATAGCCATTGTCAGAATCAAAATTTGATAGCATGAGCAAGAACGTGAGGAACGCATAGTTTCGCTCCAATAAACAGCCAAGGCCGTTGCCATCACCCGAATGCCTGTAACAAGGGCTCAGTAGGACTATCCAGAGCTTTGATCGGCCATTCCAACCACTCAGTCCAATCCGGGCCCAGGAAATCACGAATAGACTCGATAAGGAATCGGCCCCCATCGCCAAACATCCACGAATCCCGGCACGAATGAAGTAAAATGGCATAATGAGCCAGGATCACAAGCGCCTCTGGTCGCCGCTGCAGCAGTAGGTCAATGTATTCCGGGGAAACAAGTACCGGCCATCCAGTGCTGCCATGATTAGGCCATCCAGTGCTGCCATTGCTACTTCCGGCGAGAGATCCACCAGCCATCAACGCATTGGTCGAGGTCTGTACGTGCTCTATGGCTTGTTTGTAGATGTCTGTCAAGGTAGCTCCGAGTTTTGCCGCTTGAACAAGGTTAAGAAGTTTCTCGCACCCCGCTCCCAGCCGACCATCGAATTGATAAAGGGACGCACCGTCCGTTATCATCGGCTGGAGGACTGACTGGTGCAGCATATCCCAGGCTTTCGCACAGATTGCTCTGACACCCCGATGGAGTCGAAAACAGTGCACGAACTTGTCCACAAAGTGCTCGAAATCGTTGTCCCTGTATACGAGCACATCGCAGAGCGTGTGAAGCCCAAGAATAGCCGAGAAGAAGAAAATTGGCACACACGTTTCTTGATTCACCTCCAAGTCTGTTTCCTTGAAGATCGCCAGAGCATGCGTCTGGAGCTGGGCGGCATGAGTCCGGTAGTACTCCTGTCGCTCCGGATGCTTGGTGCTGAGGTGTAAGGCGCTGAAGGCGAGGAGCTCATTCACCACATAGGGTGCTTTTAAGAGGTGCGGCATAATACTGAGGAAATGATTGGCATATTTCCTGCGGTCCAACTCCGGAAATGTCTCGGTATTTAAATGGTAGAAAAGCTCCATGTGAAGCATGTTCACTGGTGCATCTTGGGGAGTTCCTGGATTCGGGCTGAGACTGGAGCGGCCCGAGGGTACGTTGGTCGCTGGTGAGAGAGACGTAGAAGCCGCAGAGTGATCTGGCGAGTCTACAGGCCGTGTAACCTTGAACACATTGATCCCATACTCACACACCCGCTCTGAGACGGTGCAGTTGGAACATATGGGACGGTTTTCATTGCACTGTAGGATGATTAGTCATGCTCGGATCGCAACACGTGGGGAATCGGGGTGGAATACTTTGATATGGCGGCGCTTGCACTCCAGACAACCATTCCGGGACTTCTTATGAGCTCTGCGTGGCATTGTGAATGACAAGTCAAGTACTGTGCTTCAAGCCTATCAAGACCAAGACTGACCGAAATCTCATTCGACGGACGACTGTCGTGTTAGGTTCGGCTCTGGCTGTGCAGGGAAGGCGGACAAAGTCCTCCAAATACGCGGAAGCCCAAAGGCGACACTCAGGGGTCAGGAAGTCACACTTTTCGCAGTACCGCTGCAGTTCAGAAGAAAAAGTGTGTCGTGCCTGGCTCGAAAAGTCGAACGACGGATACGCCAATACGACAGAGACTGCCTCCGAACTGGCCACGCGCGACGAATCGGAAGAACGCAAATCCGCGTATGCACAGACCATGTGCAGTTTTTACCCGCCACCTTCCTTCGGCTCTATACGCGTATAGCTTCGGCTCGGCAGCAACAGAACTTCTAGAAGAGTTTGATTGTTGGTTCTATTCTAGTCTTACAAAGGAGGATGCCTAGTTGACCCGACTGCAATTGTATCCACCGTTCCATTTATAAACGATTCATATCCACCATCGCCATGTCTTTCTTCTACTCATCATCCCAAGTCATATCCAGCCGCTGTGCCGAAACAGTATTCCTGCAATGGCAAAATTAGAGCCATACTCGGGCGACTACTACCTTTGGAAATATGTCCCATCGATTCCAGCAGCTGTCATCTTCCTCCTGCTGTTCGTATGCATGACAGCCTTCCATTCCTGGAAAATATGGAAGACGCGGGCGCGGTTCTGCATCCCTTTTGCCATTGGAGGATTGTGTAAGTGACGTGTATCCCTTTGCTGTGCGTATGCAGATTGACTCTAACGACCCCCGACCACTCAGTCGAAATCATCGGCTATATAGGTCGGATCGCCTCGCACGGGAAGACTGGACAGCTTGGCCCCTACATCATTCAGAGCGTCTTTCTTCTGCTTGGGCCAGTCCTCTTCGCGGCTTCGGTATACATGGCCCTCGGACGCCTTATCCGCAGCATTCAAGCAGAGAAGTACTCTGTTGTTCGCGTCAACTGGCTCACAAAGATATTTGTCGCGAGTGATGTCCTCACCTTCCTCATCCAGGGCTCAGGAGCGGGTCTTATGGCGAGTGCGTCGAGTACGGACATGGGCAACAATATCATCATCGCGGGACTTGTGCTTCAAGTGCTCATGTTTGGACTGTTCATGGTCACGTCGTTTGAATTCGAGCGGCGAATGAGCCGCGCTCCGAGCGGGCATGTCTTTGATGCCGACGTGCCGTGGAAGACTCACTTGCATGTTTTGGATGCCGTCAGTGCTTTGATATTGATTCGGTCGGTGTTTAGGGTAATCGAGTACGCTGGGGGTCAGGATGGGTATTTGCTTGGTCATGAGTGGACCATGTACATCTTTGACTCGGTGCCAATGATCACCGCAATGGCGTTGTGGGCGGTGTGGCATCCGAGTGTCCTTCAAACTTCTACCTCGCGTACGCACTCAGAGGCATTAGATATGAGGATGAGTTGATTGAATTGGGTTGGTTGAGGGAATGTCTCTATAGAGGAAATGCTGTTCATGAATGATTTATTAGATTAGTGTGCGTGTCTGCAATTATTAGCTGTCGAAGAAATAGACAGGTCATTTGAGCAAATGGTAATCGAGTCGATTGATAGTATTTCTTTGGTAAGCCATTCATTTGCGATCAGGGTGAATAAAGCCCTTAGGATTGGGGACATTGGTCCCCTTGATTAGGAGCAACATTGTCGCTGCCACTTTAGAATCAGGGATTCAAGAGGCCATCATATTCATCCCTTGTTGATCATGTAATCAAACCCATAGCCCTCATCGCCAGTTAGGTTGCAGGTCTCTCAGTGGCAGCTAAGCAATGGAAATGTCCAAGTGGAACTGAGTGGGTCAAAGAAAGAATGCGACTACTTTAGTACTGTGTGGGGAGAAGCAACAGCAAAGTGGACCAGATGGCCAGCAGGATTGAAAGCGCTTCCTCTTATCCTCGAATGCCGACCATAAAGGAATAAAATACTACTGGTAAAACGAATGCGGAAGACACAGCCATCAAGGTCTCTGGCAAGGTTTCAGAATCGACGGAATGGTGGGGGGCGAGTGGATCTGACTGGTTAGCGTAGTGCGGGGTTAGTCGGCCAAGGATCTGGGGAATGCTACAGAGGTGTATTATTGGCTGGCTGTCGGGCGGAGTTGCATCGAACCGGCCAATAGCCGTGGTCCACCATATTTTGGGTCAGATTAAACACATCATGGAATTGAGTGGACTCAAAAAAGTACATGTCACTACTCACTAAGTCCGGGAGATCCGGTAGAAGCTATGGTGGATCTGGGGTTGTGGCCCGCTTCGACCGCTGGAGACGGAGAGCCGGTATGGACTCGCTAGTAGATAGCGATAGAATAGTTCAAATATCGTCTAGATTTCCACATTATTCTATGATCATTGCAGGACAAGTAAGATACTCCGGCTTGTACCTTGTTTGCACTGGCCGTGTGGTGTGATGATTATGTGGCTTGCTGTAAGTTGCACCTCCTTGCCCAGAACTACTAGTGCTTCCCCCCTTTTTCCCCTCCCTCAGGAATCCTACGACGCATTGTACTTTTACCAGTTGACAACCACGTAACTTGCGATGTCAGATCAAACAAGGCAACAGCTGGTCATTTAACCCCTCATGACGGGCGAATAATATTCGTTGTATAGATAATGTAAGACGACAAGTTACATACATGAAACTCCATCCCTGCCAACTGGTGGCGCAATAATCAGGCCATCCAGGCCACGGTACCCAAACAAAGGAAAGTGATCGTAAGTAGAAGCAAGACACTGTCTAGCTGCAGGTCGTAATAATGTTCAATGCAATAATTCCATCTCTCCAGGAGAACGGATAATCATGAAGTAACGCTCGATCATCTAAGTCGGCTCATGTAACGTAGTGTGAGGTAGACGGCGCCCATGGTTGTGTACATGGCGCCCCGCCTGCTACCCAGACCGGCTTGTGCAGCGCAAAGGAGGTCTGCGCAAGACCTGCTGTTGTCTTCGATCTCTCTGTAAAGTTCACCTTTTAGTCGTCTGCCCGTAGCCGACGGTTTCAATCTCAGGTTGAAAAGGGAAGCTCAGTACATACCTTTCTGGAAGAGTCTGTTCCGTAGAGTACCAAGTTGCTGTCTGGAATAGTTCGCCACGGACGAGCTCAGAGCGGAAAGGTTCTGGATAATTGGAGCTGACATTTTGGATGATAGGTTGGGATAAATGGGATCGCTTTGCAGATATGTATTGGCAGAAGGATGTCACGAGTTAAGCAACACGAATATACCTTGTACTTGAGGAGTACGACCATCCTCTCAGCCTTTATATACTCTTTTCTCGCCATCCTGATGCGGGGTAGTCACACGACAGGGGCTACCTAGGTAGCACAAGAATCGACGTCGACGATTCAGGCCAGTGGCGTTTGACTCGTAGGCATCGACCATGGTTATCAGCATATCCCTGGCCTCTCACGACGGCTACGCCTCGCTTGTGCTGGCAATGATTGGGCATTGTTCTTGATCGGCTGGTGGCAATCTGGGGTAGGTCGAAGAGTGTGTGATGCAGAGACGCCCATCCGTAAACCTAATGTACGTATGAGACAGTAACACGCCAATAGGATAACGGTGGCTAGGACAGGGTATCCTATTGCCACCGATTAAGCACTGCCCTGACCACAATCTCCCAATGGAATCAAGTGAGACTGGTGTTGAGATGATCTATGGTCAAGTCCTCGAGTGGTGATCTTCAACGCATGATTACACAATAGTAGGACATGAGTGGCCCTATCTTCTATCTTCTTCTTACCAAGAAGAGAAGATGTACAGCCGTGGTGTAGGCCATAATCATTCTTCCGTCGATAATGAGTGGCTATATGACCACTGTCACCTGAGGTTGAGAGCACGATTTACAATCCAAGAATATGCCAAATCATGGACGCAGCGGCAGGCATTATTAGTGGAAATAATGTCATTAGAAGGAATCCTGCAAGAGCACCAGGTTCGATGATTGCTCATCACCTTAGGTTCGGAGATGCAGCGACAGAAGGTTTTGCATAAATCTACCATCCATATGTAAGAGCATCTCAACCATTCTTTCCCCATAAATGGCCGCTCACGGTCGATAAGGACACTTGTGGAATGTCACCATGGTCGGAATGGCAGGAAGGCCACATTCCAGTCAAGATGTCATCGATTGGTCAAGCAGGTTTCAGTCGTCTACCAGCCTTTCAGACTGACCAGCTTCGGGGAAATACCCACTAGGTTAAGCTCTGTTAATAGTGAAAACTATCGGCATTATTCAGTCGTTCTGTTTTGGGTCAGCCCACCCTTGCATGGGCTAATTCAATAATAATGTCCGTAATATCATAGCTCTGGAATGGATATAGCTTCGCAAGCAGACCATCAATTTCCATGCTGACTGGGTGATCTATCAAGAGCCCGCAGATCATCGTCCAACAGACTCAGCCTACTGTAGCTTTGGGCGCGACGGGAACGGTAGCTGTCGTTCTCCAGGAGCCGCTGCAGTTGACTGGTCGCCCGACTCGGAGTAAATTGTCCTTGACGACTCTGTCAAGCTCATAGAGAGTAGAGAGCACAGTCAGAAGATTTGGAGAGGACTCCATCGAGCTAGACCCACAAAATAGAAAGGCCGTCTTTTTGGAGGAAAAAGCGCTCTAGCTCGTTACATAGTCATGGCGAATGCTTGATCTGCGCGATCCATCAGTAAGCATAACATAAAGGTTCAAGGTTGAGTCGACAGCTAGATAAAGCAGTAAAATATGGGTTAGTTCACAACAGCCTAGTCTGATCGTCCATAGTGACCTGGCCAACATTGGATAGGACGGCCTCTAAGGGGCATAAACCTATGTGGTGCTCAGAAATATATCTCCCTCCGAGAAAGCTCAGTAATCCTATAACAATATTTTGATTCAGACGTAGGAAGAGAGCAGAGTTTTAGACAACGTTCGTATTTGGATCAAAAAATGAATCCACGTAGATCCAAGTGCCTCATAGAATCATTGGCTTTCCCTGGAGCAGCATTATGAACTGAAAGGTTTCGGCTTGGGAGTTTGGGATATTCATGATCACGTGACCAATCCTTCTTGGCAACGTCTCTTTCAGCAACGCATGCGACCGTGTTTTCTCGTTCCCGTCAGAGAATGACGACGCTGTCGACACGACGAGAGCACCCGAAAATTAAAGGCGCTCCCGACTATGACGATCCCACATACTGGGACGTCAAATTTGCGACTGGAAAAGATGTCGGGGAATGGCTGAATTCGGGTGAAATCCTAATCGAGACTACCCTGTCCGAATTGGAGCATCGTCCTCAATCCCATGCCATCCCGCGTGCTTTGCACCTCGGTCCAGGAATCTCCAAACTGGGGGTCAAATTATGCGAGGCCTTTGTTAAGCGGAATTGGCCCGGAAGCCGCATTGTGGTGAGTCCTCTTCTTTGGTAGACTTTTGGAGAATTGCTCTAATTTTCCACTGTCTCTGCTAGAATGCGGATTTCTCAGCGGAAGCTGTCCGCCTCGGCCGGGAGCTTGAGAGCGGCAAGAACGCAGACCAGGCAATGCATTGGCTTCAGATTGACCTGAGATCGTGGAGCGATGTTGCCAAGTTGGCAAGCTACGCGCCTTTTGATGTGGTCGTCGATAAAAGCACGAGCGATGCCATTGCGACGTCGCCATCTGTCACCCTCTCAACTAAATCCGATACATCATCGATTTGTCCGATCATAAGCGAGATCGTGAAGGAGACTGGAGAACTCAGGCTGTCTCCAGTGGAGCTGTTGGCTTTGCACCTTGTCCCGCTGACCCAGAAGGGCAGTACCTGGGTTGCGCTCTCATATTCAAACATTCGCTTTGACAACCTCCGTTATGCTGGGATGTATTGGACCGTTGTGTCTCGCACATCTACAAGAGCACCACAAGGCCCGACGTCGTCATTTGTGCACACCCCTGAAGTCTTTCATTGGGCCTATGTCCTCCGGCGGAATTAAGCCATAAAACTGCCTTTGCTGACTGTGTCCAGCGACGGACCCCAACCAGTGCATGCAACTAGCATTTGCTACGGCTACGCAAATCCAACACAGACAGACCGCTCAGTAGGACTCAATCAATTCACGCGCAAAGTGATTTACATCAGCTATAGTGGTTTCAGCATCAAAAGTTTCGAGGCGTCACAACCCCAAGAGACGTCAGAAATCCGTATAAGCATTGAAGTAAGTATTGCTGCGCTACTGTCTGGCCAAGACATTGGCCAATTCTTCGATCTCGTCCGGTCCCAGAAGACCCAACTTCTCTCGTCTTGTTGGTGCCTTTGGATCAAAGAAAGGCTTCTCTGCCAGGGCGGTCACCCTTGTGCCATGCCGCGGCTCTATTCCCTCGTAATCCCAGCTGGCGTTGTGGATGGTGATCCTTGTACAATCAGTTATCGAACGCCGTACATGGCAGGAAGCATATTCGTAACTTACCTGTTATCCCACAAAGCACTTGTCTTTGGTGTCCACTTGAACCGAACTTGGATGTCAATGTTTTTTTCGTAGACATCGCACAGATATCCAAGGATAACATCACTTTCTGCCTTGTCTAGGCCTACAATACGATCTGTCATGGCTCGGTTCACCCAAAGAGTCTTCCACCCGGTTGCAGGGTGAACTCGGACAAGAGGATGCTCTCGCTCAACATATATGGGCCCCTTTTCCGGATGCTTGCGGTCCAAATAGGGGTGGGCCGAGCGATAAATGGCTGTCTTGCCGTCGATAAATTGACGGAACGATGGTGATAACTTCTCGTAAGCAGCGTAACCGCTTGCCCATAGCGTGTCCCCTCCAGTGCTCGGCACCGTATCATTGTGAAGATGGGTGACACCCGCTGGCTGTCGCTCATGCACAAGATCTGTATGCCAGCGGGAAGCGCCCCCAGGCCGGCGGAATGCAGCCGGGGTTTCCGCTGCCTGCAGGGCCGGCCACAATACGGTCACACCGGGCACTCCAGGAACCTGTGGTACTTGCGGCTGAACAAGGATTAGTCCAGTGCCCTAGTAACTTGCCAGAGAAGATGCAACGACATACATGGATCTCAACTTCACCGAACCATTCGCCCAGCTCCTTCTGCTGCTGTGGGGAGATATCTTGGTCTCGGAAGAAGACAACGCTCCTTTCCGCAATCAGGAGGCCCAACTCGTCTTTTTGCTTGTCGTTAAGATCTTTGAGTTGCAACCCCACGATCTCGGTCCCGATGTGCTTGGTGAGGTGAATGACCTCCTTCGCTGCCGACAGCAGAGCCTTCTTCTCGGGATCGGCGCGGGATCCCGGGTCAATGTGAGGGCGCTCATAGTTCCGGATGTTGTAGACATCATCTACGTAGAGAGGGCGAGCAGGCCGGTACGGATACCCGGCTGATAGATCGATGCCGGCCTTTTCGAGTCTTTCGCGAGCGTTGGGAGGGAGAGGAAGAGTCTCCTTTCTGGGCTCTGCGACGTCGACAATGCGGGGATCAATTGCAGCAGGAGCCATGGTGCTAGTCTTTGATGAGCGTAACAACCTTGAGAATGGACAGTTTCTGGTGCAAGACTGTGCCGATTCTAGTTTAATTATACGTCACCGAATCATCCCCGCTTTAGTTGATCAGCAAGTGCATGTGTGGGCAATTCTGTGTATGCGATCACATCATCACCATCACCCATTACGCCTTCCACACCATGTATCATATGGGGTCAACTGCGATATTTGACACGCTCCTGGCCCTGTCTTCCCCTCACTTGTCTTATCATCTTGCTTTATCTTCCCGAGCCCCTCAGATTGCATGAGTCTCGACCGTCATGCGGACAAAATCCGAGTATCCTCATTCAGGGATATGATTGCGTCGAGATGAGTGGATTTCAAAGCAACACAACTATCAGCCTATGGACGGAATAGGCTTGACTTGCACGGCAATATGCTTCCGAGTCGTAGGAATTCCACTTTTTTGTTGGAGTCTATGCACAATCGTTATCTGCATCGCCAATGGTGCAATTCGAGAACGGATCGCCTGCCATTGCTTAGATGGCACTCTTAAGATTTCCTGTCGAGGCCTCGCAGTCGGAGCAATATTGAAGCACGATCAATACAATGACTCGCCGTCAAATCCATCACGTGGCCGTGATCGGCGCAGGAATCAGCGGCGTTGTGTCCGCCGGGCATCTGCTCGCTGCTGGAATTGAGGTTACGGTGTTTGAGAGGAACCATAGCGCAGGTGGAGTCTGGTACGCATTGTTGTAAACTTCCTGTTCCTGCCTTTCTGACGGGACATTGCAGGTTGTACGATGAGCGCAAGCCCCTTGAACCCGCCTATCCGTCTGTGCAACCGTCCCGCGCTGAACAATATGCGGAAACATCAGATGTTAGGGATAAGTGTGTCCTGGAACATGCGCCTCCCGGGTAGGTTTAACTTATACTTGTCATAGGATATTGGTTAACCTTGAGTAGTCCATGCTACGAAGGGCTCAGGAACAATGTCCCGACACCCTTGATGCGCACAAAGCTCAACGCCTGGCCAAGTGACACACCTGATTTTGTGAGTCACGTTGTCATGAAAGAATACATTCAAGATACGTCAAGGAAAGCCGGCGTTGACGGTGTTACTATCTATGGCGCGAGAGTGAAAACGCTGCGCAAGCAGGACGGCGGATGGGAGGTCACTTGGTCTACTCTTCGTGAAGATGCGAGAAGCGAAGTCGTGCAAGAGCAGGAGAACAGAAACGTACGAGCTATCATATTTGACTGCTTTGTGGACTGAGCTGAGTGCTGCAGATATTTGACGCAGTCATCGTCGCCTCTGGCCACTATCACGCGCCACGAATTCCCGACATTCCTGGTTTACCGGAATCGAAGGCACTATGGCCGTCTCGGATCCTTCATTCAAAAGGATACAGAAGGCCCGACGGATTTGGAAACAAGGTGAGCTTGCCGGGGTTACGTGGTTACATGGAAATCCCAAAGATACTAAGATTTTATAGAGCATCCTCCTTATCGGCGGTGGCGTATCCTCGACAGACATTGCTCGCGAGATCGGCCCAATCGCCAAAAGCGTATATCAAAGCACCCGCAACGGTGAATTTGACCTGGCTGCTTCCGTACTTCCTGAAAATGGAGTGAGAATCAGCGAAATTGCCAGATTTGAGTTGCAAAGCGACAAGACACTACTGGAAGATGAGCACTTACCCTTGATTGTCCACCTCAAATCAGGTCAGAGGCTATGCGGTATTCACGCCATAATTATCTGCACCGGCTACCACATTACTCTGCCCTTTCTTCAAGACTATCACGACGATGAGACCTCTCCCGCGGATGCGAATGAAACAGTCCTTGTGACGGACGGTACACAGGTGCATAACCTCCACAAGGACATTTTCTACATTCCCGACCCGACATTGGTGTTCGTAGGCGTTCCGTACTACACAGCAACATTCACGTTGTTTGAGTTTCAAGCCGTCGCTGTGGCAGCCTTCTTCTCTGGGATTGCCCAGCTGCCGCCCACTGAGGAGATGAGGGCGGAATATCTTGCTCGCATCAAGGCGAAGGGGAGTGGACGGGGATTCCACTCACTCAGGAACGTGGAGGAGCACTACGTAGCAGATATCTTGGAGTGGGTGAACAAGGCTCGGGCTTCTCACGGACTAGCAGCCATTGAGGGACACACTAAGACATGGTTGGAGGCGAAGGAAGCCCAGAAAGAGCGACTGAAACAGCTTTTTGGGAGAGAAGCGAGGAGAGATAGTGGGGTGGGCGAGCTCCCGGTATTGGAGATGTGTAGCTGAGTCGCGAGATGGTACGAAAATAGACTGTATCTAGACAATTGATGCCGGTCGCTTCCCTGAGTCTAGGGGGCTTTCTCCAAAGTCTGCCGTAAACTTATCTATTGGCGGAGGACATATACATCAAGTGCGATATCGACCAACCCCACCTTGTGCCTACTTTCCTGTACCCCACATGTACGTAGTTCGATCTAAGAAGCGATCTGCATTGATATGGCTGGCACATCATCCAACAATCCTATGACGAGCTTTGAACCGGTTACTCGCCATTACAACGAGTCAGTCAGCGGCAGCCGTGGGGACTTCTCCTTGACATGACCACTCTCGATAGATCTATCCTTATCGCAACTCAAATGGCGTAAGCTCTACCGGCAATGAGGAATCCCCCTAGCTACAATGTCCCACCATGGCGAGCCAGTAAAATCAAGATAGAAACAAGCTCAGTGGCAGCCGACTCGGTTTAAGGAAACGTCGGTTCTCAACGAGTGCCAGAGCCTGTTCAGTGACAGTGCCCATTAAGAATGCGCTGATTCCTTAAACACAGATAGAAGAACCATATCTCCTCCTAGCAGGAGTCACACAGACTGCTCTACAGACATTTTACATTATGGCACCCTCACCGGCAGTCATCGACGAAAGAGTCATCGCCGACAATCTACAGAAAACCCCGAAGCGGAAATGGCTCAGTTACATCTGGGACACATTGGACAAGTCTCCCGAAGAGCGCAAGCTGCTGTTCAAGCTGGACACCGCGATATTGACATTTGCTTCCCTTGGTAGTACATCAACCATGAATCACGTACTTACGCTGACGGTAGATGCAAGGGTATTTCATCAAGTATCTCGATCAAATCAACATCAATAATGCGTTTGTCTCTGGGATGTACGTCTGCCTTACCCACATTGATGTCAATCGTTGACAGAATACAGGAAAGAAGACCTTAGCATGTATGGCAACGAGCTCAACTACATGCAGACCTGCTGGACGGTCGGCTACGTGATTGGCGAGATACCCAGCAATCTGCTCCTGACGCGTATCCGGCCCAGATACTGGATTCCGGCGATGGAGGTATCAGCAATTTTCTTCTAGACTTGGACTGCTAGATGCTAACTCTGGCAGCTACTATGGACGGTTCTAACGTTCGCAATGGCGCGATGCAACTCCCCGACTCAATTCTATGTCCTGCGCTTTTTTATCGGTACGTGATTTCCCGTGGTTAGTGGGATGGGTGATAGTGACGGCAACAGGCCTCGCAGAAAGCACATTCTACCCCGGCATGCAGTACATCATCGGCTCGTGGTACCGCAAAGACGAGCTCGCGAAGCGGTCATGTATTTTCCACACGAGTAGTGGGATCGCGAGCATGTTTTCTGGATACCTGATGGCAGGCGTGTATCATCTTGGTGGGAGGGGAGGGTTCAAGGGGTGGCAGTGGTATGTTACGACTGCAATTCATCCTGTGAGTCAAGCTGATGTTCTAGGTTGTTTATAATTGACGGGGTCATTTCGCTCCCGGTTGCGCTGAGCGGGTTCTTTATTCTGCCTGATGTGCCGGAGATTTCGAACCCGTGGTATTTGTCCAGGGAGGTAGGTTGGGTTGCTGTCGCGCGGGCTTGCAACTGCTGATGTGCGCAGGAAGTTTCGCTTTCACAGAAGCGAATGCAGCTTGAAGGACGGAAGAATAGAGGGCCTCTGACGAGGAAGAAGTTGAAGAGGATATTCTCGTCGTGGCATATCTATCTCCTGACTCTGCTGTATCTGTACGTTACATTCACTGGGTCTCAATGACACTGACAGCTGACGCGGCCAGGTGTTTCAACAATGGTGCTGCAGGATCCCAGCCTATATTCCAACAGTAAGTACAGTGCAGCTATTACCTCAACGGGTACATATATTGATCAAAAACAGATACCTCAAACACTCGACCGACCCCAAATACTCCGTCGGCCAGATTAACGCCTACCCGACTACCACCGGGGCAGTTCAAGTCGTAACTACTCTAATCTACGCTTGTAAGCAGCTTCCTTCTCTCGCTCCCATACCGTCTGACAAAATAGGGACATCCGACTCCATCCTCGGCGGCAAACGCTGGCCGCCCGTCATCTTCGGCGCTGTAAGCCCCGCTCACCCACCCCAGCTCATCTCAATCTAACGATCCAGTTAATCAACATCATCTCATACACCTCTCTCGCTGTATGGAACATCCCCACCGGGTGGAAATGGACCTGCTACATCATCGCCGGAGCAGGGCACGGCCTAAGCGGGCTTTTAATGGCGTGCGTCCTCCCCTTTTTGGTATCCGTATCACAAACTAAAAGGCAATAGATGGGCCCATGAGATCTGTGCTGAGGATAATGAGGAACGGGCGTTGGTGGTGGGTAGCATGAATGAAATTGCGTATGTGTTTCAGGCGTGGTTGCCGCAGGTTGTTTGGCGGCAGGTTGAGGCGCCGGAGTATCGGAAAGGGTTTGTTACGGTGACGGTTTTGTCGGCTATACTCATTCTAGCGACGTTTGTGACGGTTGGGTTGGAGAACAGGGAGAGGTGAGTGGTTCTTGGGATAGGGATGAATTGTGCTAATTTGTTGTAGGGCTAAGAAGTTATCTGGGACTACGGAGCCTGAGAGTGAGGACAGTTTACCGGGTGTAGATTCGGAGGATGGAGGTGTGGTTAAGGTGTAGCTGGACTAAGCGAATGGTATTAAGAGAGAGGATTGGATATGGGAAGTATATAGAGTGAATGATGTGAATGATGTCTCCACTGTTGTATGAAATCTATTGAGGCAAAGCGTCTATAGACGCCGGAAATGCAGAGTACAATAGCCCACCACAAGTATCAATCGTCAGTCAGTATCACAACACCATCTGCCAGGTGACTCTCTTCCCCTTGACCATCACCAATAACCCCACAGGCAAGAACTAGGGTGTCCACCAGACTCAACCCCCCAAGCAGTCTCAGCGGCTATTGAGCATACAGCTGCAGAATCCATTTTTAAGTTCATTATCCTCCACCGGATAATCGATCTGAGACTGCACCTTTTCCCGCGCACTGGAGACCTCTTCCGTAAGTTTGATATCAGTTTCACCAGGAACATCCATCAACTTCGTGTATAGAACTCGTAGGAGAGTGTCGGTGGATCCCCTGAAGCGAGTGTATTCCTCAAACGACATAAATGTACTCAGTTCGGTTATCGAGCACCGGGCTGCTCCAGACTCCGCCTCTGGGCAGACCTCCTGGTACCGCTGCAAGCGCTCGCGTTTAGTTAGCTCCTCAAATTCCTTCTTGGAGTCGAGGTATGCCTGCTTCTCGTTTTATTTGTACTCGTTTATAAGCTGGATGGGGGTAGAGCGGAGCTCATCGCGGACCAAAAGCGTTGAGACGAATGGATTCCGCAGACCGAGACCGCCCAATTGTTCCGGGAAGAAGAAGAAGAACGCGTCTGGGATTTCGGAGACGCCGAAACGTTCCTCGATCATGTGCCGAAGGTGCTCCGTGACTGTTGAAGCGCGACCATCGGTGTTGAAGAGCGTGTTCTGCACCTTTTCGTAAGTGGCAAGGATGAGATCGACATGGTCACGTCCGAAGCAAAAGGCCGGCTGGCCGAAATCGCTAGTGAAGAAGCGGCCGATGCAGCTGTTCCAGGTGCGGATCCAGGATATGACGCTCTCACAACAGTCAAGCTGCTGCCTCAATTGCTGCACATGCGCGTCCACTTGCGCCTGGTCGATCACCCAGTTACCAGAGTCGGGATCAAGCACGAGCAATCCAATGGTGACGGGCCCTTTGGGTAGTCGAGCAGCAATGCTGACGTCTCTGGACTCGGCGAGGTAGACTGAACCGGTTTTCGCCAGCTTGAACTCCAGGCCGGTAACTTGGGCGTATCGTTGCATGGCCTCCCATGCCTGTGCGCATTTGGCTGGATCACCACACAACCACAAGTCGTCGTGCATTCGGTAGAGCAACATCCCGGATTCGCGGTTGACTGTCATATCCATGAAGAAGAGGACAAGCTCGCCCATGAGCTTCGCCATTGCGCCGGCCAGAGGCACGCCGCGTTGCCGCATGCGAGGGCCGGCCGGGGTCCGACCATCGCAGGCCTCATCCATGTTCAGCAGCGCGTGAAGGTACGTACTTTGTGAAGAAATCGATCCACTCTTCGGTAAAGCCGACAAATCTCAAAATCGCAAAGAGGATGCTGTGCGGAAGACCGGTTCCGTACCATTTCATATCGGACTGAATAACAGCTGCCTCACCGTGCAGATGCTGGTGGAGGAGAGTCTCTGTCGCAATCGTGCGCAGTATCCGCTGCTTGATGGTTTTGGTGGATCCGGTCTTTTGCGCCGGCCTTGCACCAGCGTCTTCATGGTCGCCTGCCTCATCATATGTAGGACCGTTCTCAAAGAGTGACGTGCCTGAGCCGGGCAAGTGTGCGAGGAAGTACGTGGACTCGTACTCCCATTTGCGTAGGTTGTCCACGCTGTTAACTCTGCACGGGCGGGGATCGAGATAGTAACGACGGCGGAGAATGTCCCGTTCGGTTTTCTGCGGACGAGCAGAGAATTTCCAGACTTTGTAACGTGTAATAACATACTTCAACAGGTGCTTGAGTGCGCTGCAGAACTTGAGCACGATGAACTCGGCGAAGATGGTCTCCAGGACGTCCTCGTCTACCCAGACGCGGTATTTTGCCGTTGGTTTGCTGACGCGGTAGGACTGGAATGCCCTTTTCGCCGGTGTGCCAGTCCCAGTTCTTCAAGTCTGTGTAGCGCATATTCAGAACATCTGCGATCTCGGTCATAGCGACCTCGTTGTCCAGGAAGTCTTTGAGCATGGCTCGCTTCCCGTCACTCAGTAACTCCCGAGTCAGCAGGCCTTTAATGCAATTGGACAACGAAATCGGGTTGAATAGTTCCTCAGCTGTCCAAATTGTTTCGCATCTGTCCTTAACAAGGCTCCGGAGTTTGCTCAGCGCACGCTTCCCTTCATCCCCGAGGAAGAGGTCTTCAAGGAAGGTATGGATCCTCTGTTCGTTGGTCTCACGTGGCTCGAAAACGACCGCTTCAAACTGGTCGCATAGCTGCTGAAGACGTTGCTTTTGACGTTCTTCCACAACCAGAAAATCTTCGTCGTCAGAATCATCCTTGGCTTTGGGGTTGCTTGTACCGCTTGAAGGAATCATCCGCTCGGTTAGTAAGCGCGCATAGAGATCGGCAAGACTCAATTTGCGACTGTGGGCATCCCATCTTGAGATCAATGTCTCTTCAAACCCCTCTAGCATCTTCGATGGAATTGACGAGTCGTATCTGGCTTGATCAAGCCATCGTTCGATATGACCGGTTGTAACATCCTTAGAGGCGCCGGGATAGAGCTCCTTGGTGCCAGCCAGGAGATGTGTCAATCTGCCAAACCGATCGTCATAGGCAGCAGATACCTTGAGGATCTCAGATTTACGCGACTGATAGGTGTTGCGCAGCTTCTCCAACTCGCGGATCTTGCTGAGAGTCAGCGATCGAATTGTCTGCGAGAGGGCGGCGTTGGACGCCATGACAAAGGTGAGCGAGGAGATGATGATAGAGTTGAAGCCATTGTGAACAGAGATTTCAACTGCCTTAAGTAGAGTCTGGAGACTGGTGAACGAATCACTCTGGGTGTTTTGGGGCCCGTCTGCCTTGTTTGTATGCCCCCTGAGGCTCTGGCAGATAAGCTACTGCTAGATAGAGTCTAGAGAGAGTCGAGAGAGCGGCTACAAGGCACAATGTCACGTGAGTATGCCTGACAAGTTCATCACATGACTCACCCACATTTAACTATCAATATCAAAACAAAACCACTGACTCAAATCTCAACTGACACACTTCGCTGTCTCAGCCCGATTAGCGCTCTGTCATGATCAGCCTCCCTCAACTGCCGCGGGGCAAACTAACCAATTGACTTACTGATACTGATAGGTCAAGGTGGTCCGTTGCTGCATCCAATCAATTGATCGCTGCGTTGTCAGTGACGGCATCTTGTCGATCACCGTGACACTCGCCACCTCCACGGTCCCATCATCGTCGACAATAACTGATAACTGCCTCGGTTGCTTTATCAAGATATTAAACACATACAGTCTCCTTGCGTCGAATTCGTCATCGATGTGGTGTCAGGATGTGTGCACTTATTGCGTATAAAACCTGGCCGTTGTTTGGAAAGAGGACAAGGCCAAGTATGATGTCAGTCAGAAAAGCAAAAAGACCACGATCGAGCGATGGAAGGACCAACGAGGAAGCCTTGATGAGAAGATTGACCGCCGTCAAATCAACGAAGCGCATATACATTGCGTCGCACTCATAGTGACCAGGGCAGCACACCACCATACGTACTGGGATGATGATGGTGGCTGTTATGCGATCATCGTTTTGACGTCACATCCCATACAGATTGTCTATATAGTTATCGCACAATCTGTTCATCATGAAATGAAGTTCTCATTCTTGCCTATTACCAAGTCAACAAAAACAATCATATCCAATCAAACCCTCTATCTCATCCAGTAAAGAACAACATGCCTCTCTTCCACCGCAATTCAGTATCCGGCTCCTCCTCCTCAGCCCGTAGCATCGAGGAACCCAACCAGCGCAGCCACGGGTTATTCGGTGGTCGTAACTCGCATTCAAGCCACTCCTCTCGCCGTTCCTCGGGTAGCTACTCGAGCGGACACACCCAACGTCGCGGTCTGCTCGGCCGACACCATGAAGACCCGTCCATCGCAGCAGCCAAGGAGCAGGTCCTCCGCGCCGAGTCGGCAGAGCAAGCGGCCGATCGGGCTCTGAGGGAATCCCGGATGGCGGTGCGCGAAGCCAGGGACCATGTGAAACGACTGGAGCACGAGGCGGCAGAAGAGTAAGTCCTTGCTGGCTGTGTATGCCCGTATGCGACCACTAAGTAGCTTTGATAGGGCGCGACTGGCCAAGCATAAGCAGCATCAGGCCAAGTCCATCTCGAAGAGAGCTAAGCCTCTTGGACGTAAGTCTGACTCTGGATTGTTGTCCATGCCAATGCCGCTAACGAGAACAGGCCATGTCTGATTAAACGCCGGTCATCGGTCATCTACTAACTGATGGGAGGATAGGTCATTTTGTCTTGTTCAAGCAATGTACTATACCATACTTGGTTTCATAATCTGTATTTGTAGCATAATGTATAACGACTCATGATTCATCCTTCCTATTCCTCCTGCGAAACACACAGTAGATCAAGCATTGAAGTACTTGAGATAATCAAACTTCCCAAGCGGCACTCCCTTACTTCTCAAGATGGCATACGCAATGTTCAAATGGAAAAAGAAATTCGGCAGCCCAAAGCGGTTCACGTACGACTCCCCGGTGAAGGTCGACTCATACGAGCCCAATTTCACATGGAACTCGGTGTGATCTTTGCCCTCGAAGAGCTTGGGATCAACCGCCTTGATCACCTCGATGGTCCGGTTGATGCGATCGTAGAGCTCCTCAAAGGTTTTCTCGTTGTCTTCCATAGACACGTTTTCGGTGCCGGCGAGTCGGGCGACGGAGTTCTTGGAAGTGTTGCTGACGGATTGCACTTGGAAGCTCAGAGGCAGCATGTTTGGGTAAAGACGGGCCTCGACGAACTCGGAGAGGGGGATGTTGTTTTCTTTGGCGTATTCTTCGGCCTTTTTGAGGAGGAGAGTAAGGGTTTCCAGGCCCTTGAGGTAGGTGGGGACGGTGTAGGTGTAGAGAGAGGAGGTCATTTTGATTGAGTTTTTAGTGGAAGAAGTAGTAATTGTGTTTATGGTCTTTGTTGGTGTTGTTCTTTCGCTATCTAAATGATGGACCTCTTGCTCATTTATACTTCATCCTGAATGCTCACCAACATGATCAACATCCCAGCCCCGCCATGGATACGAGTCGAATGTTCTCAATCCATCCGAATTACAAAGCAATAGAGTTTCCAGTGAAGCCTAGAATAACATGATTTGTAATGTTAATTGCTAGATGCAGAAATGCGTAGATGTCTCAACGTTCGTATTGCTGATCAAAGCGACCTACACGTGTCTTATTCAGCTGGATCATTGAAAAGGACACGTTGAAGAAAGGAGTCAAAGGACGGCCCGTGCTAGCCGGAGGTCAAGTACAGAGTTGCACAGCTTCGTATCTAATGCATATATTATATTCATGTGCTGTCTGAAACGTTATTGTGACATTGTGAGTATCAGGTATGCTTTTATTTCGACATTTCATCGGCTCCACCATGTTGGATAACAGATTCCAGTAAGCCATGAGTCCCTGACTATCAAGGATTAGCCAGGGACCCCTGGCGCGCAAAGACACTAGTGGCCGCTAAACTATATATCTTCCGGTCTTGCCCTATTCCTTGATGCCCATCGAGGTGACAGAAACCTGGAATGTTCATAAATCCTCGTACTTCTAGCCTGTTCAACCCAAAACCAAGCCAGATGTATTACTAATTTTAAAAGTTATAAAGTTGTGGATACTCCCCTCACCAGCCACAGGTGGGAGAGTCACTACTAACTGGGTAGATGATAGCCCAGTAATCAATAGCTGGACAAGGGCATGACAGATTGGTGTAGTTCAGCACTCCCAGCCATCAAACCATTAGACCAAAAAGGCGTCCAGGCGACCATTCTAGCATCGTAGGAATGATAGAGCATATTATACTTGACAAGGCCCCCCTACGACATCAGGGAGGCTGACAGCTGAGGCCCTCTGCCCGGAAGATGTTCAAGAGCCTATCACCCTCCTAAGTGATTGCTTGTCTCCCACACCACCGTCAGCTTTTAGTTGAAAACCGGGCCACCACGAGGAGGTAGCTGATCGGATTAACAAGGCCACGCCCTAGTCAGGCAGAGTACTGCGCGCTATCCATGCTTATAGGAAATAGCGCTCACGTAGTTGCCTGAGGCCCCGAGTATCATATGCTAGGACTCATGATATAGGGTAAATGATATCACATGACGCTGTCATCCAATATCTCACCAATATACGTCACTGTGAGTCGCACATCCCCAGGATGATCCCCCGTCGTTCTCTTCTCTCTGCTCTCTTCTCAATATTCTCGACTGCTTGTTCGCCATCGTACGCTTCATCAATCAAGTGAATCCAACGCAACATCCATCGTCAAGAGCTTCTCAAACAGTCACCATGCAGTCCAGATTTAAGGAAAGACTCTCCTACCTAAGCAACCCACAAGAGCTCGAGCAGTTCATGACACGGAAGCTCGACCGCAGCACCAGCGCCCAGGAGCCCCCAAATCCCGAGGAGCCCGCAAAACAGCTTTGTCAAGAGCGCACCGCTCTCCACGACGCAGCGGAGTTTGGCTATCCCAACTTTGCTCTCACGTTCATCGAACATGGAGATGATATCAACGCTGTGGATGCAAAAGGACGCACTCCTCTCCATGTCGCTGTACAAGCAGGGCAGGAGGAGATGGTCCGCCTCCTCCTTGAGAAAGGTGCAGATGTCAACATCAAAGACAACGATGGACTCACTCCCCTCCATTTTTCTGTCATGCTGCGCTCAGTGACTTTGGCCCGCCTGCTTATGCAGGCTGAAGCAAACCCACGCACTGAGAATGCGCATGGGCACACCCCATTCTTCTTTGCTTGCTTGTTTGAGGAAAATGAGATTCTCGAGTGTTTTGCCGAGACGAGCCGTGGAAAAGTTGAAGCAGTGCCCTCGAGCACGCTTCGTGGATACCTGGTCAACATACGCCCTTGGGCCGAAATGAGATCTGTGTTGTGATGAGAGAATATGAGGAGCTGCAGTCGTCGTTAGACGAAGGCTCCGACCAGTTGAAACATGTGTTGACTTTGCAGTTACTGTATAGATTTCGCTTTCAGGATTTGGAGAGAAGATATTTGTTGCTTGTTAACTCGATTTGATACCCTTGATCCTGTCTGTTATGTTTGTGAATGTCTGGCTCAGTTGCCTCTCTGCGAAGAATATTATGGATATGGAGCTTACTCGATTGCTTAAGAGACATGGCTCATTTGTGTTGAGATACCCTTTGAAGAGCTGATTGATTGTGATCTGTGTCAGGTTTGTTCTAATGTCTCGACGATGAGAATGACTGATAGCAGTGCCGAAGATGTTACAAGAAATTTGAAGACAAATTGCAACCTACATGGATCTAACCCGTAGTTCAATTACCGCTTCAGATGACGAAGCAGTCATAAAAAGATAATAGGGTAATTTGTCAGCAGTGCACGCATAGACTTAATGATCATCCTGTAGGGCTTCCAGAATCACTAGTTCATTCTGGAGGAAGCCGGGATGGTCAAGCAGGAGATTCTCTATCGGGGAAATCAGCTGCTGCTTCATCTGCTCATGCTTTTCCTCGCCGGGAAACCAGACATTGCACAACATTTCGGCGAGTTCGTTGCTCCGACCAGACGAACTATTCTCGTCAAAAGAGTAAGAAGTACTGAGAGGATGGAGGGAAGTCCTTCCAAATCCGATGTCCGCCAGTATCTTCATGGCAGAGTGAAGGAGCAGGCCCTGATGGGCTGGTCCCGGTTTTGTGCCGCTCAATGGAGTACACACGGTGTTCATCAATTTCTGAACTTCGTTATATGGTGCAGCCTGGATCAAAATGACCCGCGGATTCGAGGAGGACTTGTCAACCACGCGGACGACTTCTAGCAAGAAACCGCGGAGATCGTCAACGTAATCGAGAATCGTTGCTGCAATGACGGCATCAAACTGGGCATCCGGGTATGGGAGATTGCTGAAAGGGGTAGCCAAAGTCTCCACGGTCTTGCTTCTTGTTGATGCCTTGTCAAAGAAGTCTGACAGGGTCAGAATGTGTGGCATATATCGAGAAAGAATGCGTCCATGGCTCACCTTCCAGCCCACCCCCAATATCCAGTACCCTTTGATGGCCCTCCAGCATAGAGGACAGCTTCATCCTCTGGTCACCTTTCAAGAATAGGTGGCCCTGCAGCCGTCTCCAAGCCGGCTCGTTACGCATTGACTTTCCCGGAAGGCCTTCGGGGAAAGCATACGGCCCCAGCAACGGGTGTGGCTCCGATTTCCTTCCAACGATCAAATAATGGGTCTCAGTCCGCGTATGCTTGGAGTCCTTGGGTATGTAGTTGAACATCTTCTCAACCTCAACTGCAAAACCAGCTTCGCGCAGTAAATTCAACCAAGCCGACTGGGAAAGGTACAGCTCAGACACCGGCCTCTCCATCCACGTCACTTTGGACCTCATACAATCCCAGACGGGGTCATGTACGCCCTTTCCTCCCACAAGGGCCGAGGAAGGCGTCACACCAAGTACAAGAATGCCATCCTCCTTCAACCACTCAGCGAACCGATACACCACTTTATGAGTATCGCTTGGTTGGATCTGAAAGAGCGAGTAGATTGCAAACACAGCGTCCATTTTGACCGGAGGAGTGTAGGTTCGCATATCGGCCGTCGAGAATGTCCCGTTCACTTGGCTGGCTGCAATTCTCACCATGTTCTCAGCAACGTCAATCCCGTAGACGGTGTGACCGGCGGATGCGAGCGCTGCAGCGACCGGTTTGCCGGTTCCGCAACCCACGTCGAGGACATGGCTGCTGCGTGGAAGCTTGCTCACCACATGTTCGGTGATTTGGAGCAGCCCGGGACTATCGGCATAGGCGTCTTCATAACGCTCTCCAAGCGCGTTGAAAAGGGTTGCAGCGTCGACTTCCATGGCGGGCTTAATATTGCGCGGTCGGTAGTTTAATCGCTATGACCGTGGGGTATGTCGAGGTTTAGTACTGGGAGTGTGTTGACGTGGCATCTGCGAGGGGTTGGCATAAGGTGAGGCATCTTAGTGTAGACTGTGGCAATGGTTGGGCGACCTTGAAATGGCTCTCCTGCACGCTTGTTCTTAAGCATAATACATAGTCCAACCCGATATTCTGATTTGCTTGTGTGAGTGTGCTTTCGGACGACCAGTCTTGATATATCACAAAACACCGTGCATTTCACATAACAACCCCACTCCCACAACCTGCAGTGCCTCTGTTCGAAGCATACGATATCACATTGGAACCTATCCAGTGACCAAAGATTGAAGCATAAGGAGTTAGAAAGTATTCCTGTCTAAGCGAAGAAAACAGTTAGCGGTGTTGTCCTTCCTGCCACCGAACCCACAGATCCACCATCTGTAAGCCTTCAACGGTGAGGAATCCCGAGATAAGGTTGGCTGTGACCCAAATGCAATGGGCTCATCCGACAGATAGGGAGGATCTTTGACACTTTCTGGCTCGAAGTGACGTCAAGTGACGCAAGGCGTTGAGTACCGTGGCCGGGCACACTTGCAGGCATCCTCTACACCCTATCGGTAACCGTCCCTGTGGCCGCGACAACGTGTCTCAAATGTGTTGGAAGAAAGCCTGCTAGGGGTCAGTGTTGACATGCGGCAGAGGCCTTGCGTTTCCCCCGCCGTCAAAGGAACTAATCGTGCCCTTCATTGAGGCTGTCACCACGTTGCCCCTGAAGAACGACGCCAACGTCTTGGCCTCCCTGTCAAATGGGTTTTCGTTGGCTATCAAGTACCATACGTCCTCTATGGAGCACCCCAGGCGTGAAAACGGGGCAAATGATACATCTACAGCTGAGGCACAATTCCGCGGACACGGTGCGGCCAGTCTTGAAAGCCGACGTCGAGAGACTTGCTGAGATTAACAGGGCCAGGAACCTCGTCAGTAGTGCTATCGTTGGTAGTATGACCCGGACTGTTGCTGTCGCCGTGCTGCGTTGGCCTTCGGCCTGGTGGGCAAGATGCATCCGACCGAAGTTCACCGAAACGTTGCTAACGCGGGCTACCACCTGTATCTTTATTTTATTGGATCGAGGAAAGGGGACTTATATTAAGGATGCAGGACTTCTCAAGAGATACACTTGTTATGCTTATATCGCACTATCTATTCGCTTTGCAATCAACAAAGCCATATATTAAGTGGATTTTCGGCGAAAGGATTGATGGGATGCTCCCTCAGATATCCATTCTTCGCCAGACTGAACCATACGTAAGCGATGGCCAGACTGGATCTCTCATTCGTCCCCCCAACATATTCTCCTTCAGGTGTGAGGGCTCTATGTGACTGTTGGATCAACTCCATTTGATACAATCGCCACTGATCCCAAAAAATAATACCGAGGCGCCTAAAGGCCCGGGTATCGCATCGCCAAAGAGGACTTCTCGGATTATTCCATGAACCGCCAAACCGACCATAAAACCCCATTCCTTTGCCGTGACTTCGCCCACCGCTTATCGTGTTTCCCCAGGGGTGCGTTTCTGGAGAAATTGTTCCTCGGGCCAGAGGGACACTAGGCAACGCCCAGCATGACTTCACAGCCAGATTTTCCGGAGACGGTAGGTGAGTCAGTGCCGGAAATTTGACGTGGACTGGTAATAAGGGGGTAGAAGATAAATCGTTCAAGCACTCGGTTATTGCTGGGACTTCGTCCTCGCGCAGAAGAACTGAATTGGCCATTCTTACATCCTTGTCGAATAGTTGATCTATATCGTCTTGCGACCAGGACCAGCGCTTCTCTGCTGCGGCACAAAGTTCACTGTAGATCTGGATCGCCCACAAGACACGGTGTACTCGGTATTGCTCCACCCAGCGTGGGTGATGGGTGCCTTTGGATTGGAATGGCTCTGCTGGAGGGTCCGGCGCTTGCTCAAATAGCCAACTGTAAAGTTTACCGTCAGACACGGTTGCGCGGGATGGCGTCGTTGTCTTGATGCGGTGGATAAAAGTGTCAAGACAGGCACAAGCTAGACGATGGATGTTGGCCGCTGTCGACACGACTCGCCTGGGTGCTGCGTCTGAGTCTAGTGATCGGAATGATTGGAATGCCTCCAAGGCAGGTGGAAACGGATCTCCTGGTGTGCGTTGAAGAAAGTCAAGAATTGCCGACGGCGTGAAGGTCGTTTTTGAGGATATGGCAACTAGGAGCTTGAACTCCTCCTCAATCCCATGGCCGGTCATTGGACAAGACAGCAGCACTGCCTCTGTGATCTCCGCATAGAAACAGGTGAACACGTCGTTGACCACCGGGGACATTTGCAGGAGACCGTCGAGGCTGGTGAAATCACAGCATGACTTTAGGATCAGAAGGATGATCTCGGTTGGGATTTTGCGAAATGGATCCATATCTTGTATGTTGAGTAGGGAGGATGGTAAAGGTGATGGATGTCATAGAAGCAGCCTTGTGAAGCCTTTTGAAAAGAAGCACATAGCGGATTGCCAAGATAGCCCGTCGATTTTTGTCCCGCTTTTAGTCCCTCAGGCCACCAGTGCGAATGGCATTGCTTCCGTGATGGCTGCGAACAAAACAGCAAATAAGTTTTTCCTATGCCTCCATTGTGCTCCTGAACCTCATGAGCCAGTACCTGACCCCGGCTTCGTACTGAGATGGCACCAAGGGCAAGCTCGCGGTCAATACCCAGTCTGCCGTGGGTCTCATCAACGTCTTCGAACCCCCGGGTATAAGACACGAACTCTCCCATTCTGTTACGGTCGCTTCCGAGACGCGTCCATCATGGAAGCAACCGAGTTCACAGCCCGTTGTCTGGATGATAACGAACCCCCGATGAAGCTCGAGGGAGCGGCTTCTGTAGTCCGGATTGGGGCCGCGTTGCAGGAGGGTCTCAAAAAAAAAAAAAAATTCAATCTAAGCAACAGGGGCAACAAATTTAACGGATAGATCAGACGGGATTAAATTAGAGCTTGACCAAGAGAGCACGCTGTCTCACCGTAGCATTGGAAGAGCCAAGAAGAACGGCAAAGGAGTCAGAACTGCTTATTCATTGTTATTCATTATTATTGGTGGGAGGCCGAGGAAGCTCGTATTCGCCCAATTCGATTGCTGCCTGGATTACATCAACGATCTTCTTCATCAAATATGCTTATCTGAATGCTTTCATCAATATTCGATCGGTATCCTCATCATCACTTCAGCAAGAGACTTTGCTTTGATTCTAGTATACGCTCAATGGATATGCAAGTGCAAGCGAGGCCCGGGGTTTTGTCCTTGTCTCCCGACCTTGAGGCTTCTAATAAGGCCGGGTTGCCAGATCGGCGAAAGTTACAATCGCGAGAACAAGGAAAAATCATGACTAATCAAAGACAGAAACGACCGCATACCAAGTCTCGCTGGGGTTGCTACAACTGCAGAGCACGGAGGGTAAAGGTACGGTTTATCCACAGATTTCCGAACGACGTTGACGACTCCAGTGTCAAGAAACCAAGCCGGCATGCGAGAACTGCATGTACCGAGACATGGAATGCGTCTATCCACCTACAGTCCGGGACTGGGTTGGCACAGGGAAGCAGACAGCTTCGCGACGAGATGCTGTGATAGCATCATCACAGAATGGCAAGGAGATATCCCCTTGGCAAGGACTTGCTGTCAGTCCGTTCAGTGGCGACGACTTGCGATTCTTTCATCATTACCTTGTCGTTGCGCGCCCTCATCTGCCCTTTGGGAGTGAGGAGATATGGGCGACCGAAGTACCCAGATATGCGCATGAGGTGATTATCTTGCCGAAATCCCCATGGGCTATAGCTGATGCTTCCACCCGTAGTATCCCCATCTGATGCACGCGATCCTCGCGCTAGGAGCTACTCACTACTCCCTCGTCTCACCTTATGGATCAGAATACTCCTCCACGGCGATTATCCACAGAGGCAAAGCACTGAAAGCGTTATCGACAGCGATAGGAAAAGGCCCAGAATGCTCAACTACCGATATGGACGTCATCCTGGCCACATGCTATGCTCTAGTGTTCCAGGCATACCACATGCATGACGGCCTCGTCGACTTCGCAGTCATGGTCCGCGGCTGTGGAGTCATCACCAACTGCATCATGGACAAATACAAAACAAGCCAGCTATTCCACCTGCAGACAGAGGAGGAGGCGGCCGAGGTAGCCTTGGCACTTGCCGACGAACCCGTCAGCAGTCCCCTCCTGATCGACAGCCTTCTCGCGGCAATAGATAGGTTACAACCTCTCTTTCAAAGCACCATCCATCATCGCTTCTTTCAAGCGCTACGGGAAACGCTTGCCGCCCTCGCAATCTCCCACCGCGCAGCGTTTGTCAAGCTCACCAGGATCTATGCCGTGTGGTACGAAGCCGAGAATCGAGAGTTTCTCATGTTCATCGCGCCGGCGAACCACGTTTCGCGCGCTTTGTTCATGTATTTCCTTGTCATCGAGCTCGTTATGCAGCCGGTTTATATCAGGCTGCGCGAGCTAAGTGGCACTACGTTCGTAACAACAGATTCAGTCGTACATCAGTGGGCGGATGCCATATACCGCGAACTACCATCTTCAATACGGGAGTTGATAGAGTTACCGATGCAAATCATAGCTGCAGATGAGAAGTCTGTGAGAAGCACTCGCGGTACGCGGTCTGACGGTGCAATTCCCAATCTGCATGCCCAGTTCTTTGACATGGAGGCGGCAGCGTGGCTAGGGTGCACGGAGCCTGGAGGGGTTCAAGTATTAGAATAAACTGGGTGATGCAATAGTACAAGAGCAGTAACACGCATGTTATCTAATAACAGCTTCGTGAGACAATATAGCACAATAATCAAGTCAAACTCATAAACATCATTTGCTCAGAAAATGTATGTATTGCCCAATTCCCTCCGTTTAACCCAAAGCATGAAGATGTAGAAAATCCCGTCCATGTCTGTCTTGCTCCATAATTTCAAGCTAGCGATTGCTCTTCGGTGTTTCGTCGTCGTCTGGACGACTTGCGCAGAGAATAGACCTGCTCCCCCTCCAGCTCAGACATTGCCAACCACCGCGCCGGATGGAACCAGCCCAGTACCAACAAGGCAACAAGCATGGGAACAGCCTCGAGCACGTACAACGGCCATTCATGCGTAAACGTGTACGAGTCAATGCCGAACACAAATTCAAACACACGATAGATTGAGCGGAGCTTTAACTGTTAGCAGTAGCCTTGCGAAACGTAAAATCCAGACTCACCATAATAAAGAACCCGGCAATATAAACCCCCTCATGACCATCCGAACCCCATGCAGCAACCGGTGACCTTCGGCTATCGCCCTCCAATGGAACCAAACCATGATAACCAGATACGTCGCAAACGTAACAATCTGCAACACCAGCCCTCCAATTAACACCCCAATCCCCGTGTCCTTGGTCGACCCCTCCCAGTTCCCCGACGACGCAATCCCACTCCCAGACCCCTGCGTCAGCACCGCAAGAATATCCAACGTCACAAACACCCACGGCAGCCATCGACCCGACCCCCACGCAGAAAAGCTGCGGGCTTTTTCGCACCCCCGTCGGAGCTAGCCTCCAGCTTGCCAAGAAGCATGTAGAGACTCGCGCAGACGAAGACCGGGGCGATGACGATGATGGTGCTGGAGACGGCGTAGAGGCCGATATTCGCTGGTTTCTGGACGCTGGCGCAGCGGGTTGCGTAGCCTGCTACTTCGAGGGCGGCGCCAATCACCGTCGGGATGAAGTAGTTGGTTCGTGGGGTTCGGGCTTTGCGGGGGAAGATGAATGTCATGTAGGACTGGTAGATGAGGGGGATGATGTAGATGATGGCGAAGAGAACGGAAGCCGCGAGGGAGGGATTGTAGAAGTAGATGCTGTCTTTGTCTGAGGCCATGGCTATGAGTCGATGACTGGGAATATGTCAAATATTGGTTTGAGGTAACTTGGCAAATTATAAGATAGTGCACTGCAGTGGTCCTTGATGTTGTTCGAGGAGGCATCTTGGACATGGAATAGGGACATATATAGTCCACATCTGGCACCATGTTCTCTTTACAAACGCCATAGTAAAAATTCTGCTGCCTTTGAATATTCAAATTCATTGGTTCAATACTCGTACTCGCACTCGCATTCCGTCTCATTCATCTCCATCCAGATGATTCCGTTTCTTGATGCTTGGCCAGTAGGAAATACGACAGATGCGAAAAACCGTAATATACCAGCCAAGTTTGGCCTAGTCGTATTGGCCAGGAAGTTGATGATTGGCTACAGAAAAATAGGCTCGTTCCGCTACGCTAAATCGGGTCCGAACTATCTCTTGGCATACCGTCAGGGTTCTCCCTATTTTTACCTTCTCTTGGCACGAGTCCACTGCCTGGCAGAGTGACAGTATTTACTGATTGGAGCTGGTCAGGTGTTAGGCAGTAGGATTTCTTGCCCTCATCTAGCATATTGATTGTTGATTAGTAGGTGGTTGTACCAAGACTCGGCCAAGCCTTGGTTTACTGCCATGTCTCTTCGGTCCGCAAGGATGGTAAGCATGGACAACACTTGGGGAGAACAGAATCAACAAGTTATTTACAATAGCTTAGCTATCTAGAGAAGTACAAGGTGGTACATGTGCCTAGGACAAGAAGCAAGCCATAAGAGGGCCCTACGGCATACTACTGCATCTGGTAAAGCGCAATTAAGTATTATGTAACTTTCTATAAACACATGGTCATACCCTCGTTGAACTCCGGACATCAAGCCACAGCGGAAAGACCCAGCGAGGTAGTCATGACACATCTATATATGCAAAATGTCGTATCTATACAGGAAGCATGTATATGCAAAATATGCCAGGAACAAGGAAATCAAATCGTTAAGGAGCGATGGTGCTGCCTGTGCCTTAGGGCTTGGAGAGCTGTTCTCTGCGGAAGAAGAGAAGGAACCCAGCACTGCAACATATTAGCTATATTCGAGGTAGGTAAACAGATCAGAAGAACTTACCAGATGAGCAGCTGGAAGATCAGGGCGATCCAGAACCACGCGTTCGCCACAGCACTCGCGCCATAGGTGGGATCGGGCGAGATAGGGCCGGGCCCGACGTTGTTGGGCGCAAAGGCTCGGGCGCAGATCGTGGCGATGGATCCCAGCACTTGGCACACGATGAGGGTGAAGCACATGTGCATGCGGGTCAGGGTCTGTAGCAGGATCATACCGAAGCCCAGGCCCTGGATCGCGTCGAGAACACCCAGCCACAGCCAGACGCTGCGGGATGCCAGGGCGCCGCCCGTGAGCCCGCCTGCGACCCAGGGCATGTAGTACCCGATGCCGGAGACACCCCACCAGATCTGGGCCCAGCGGGGGCGCCGAGACCGCAGGCGAACACGGGGAGGATCCAGCTGTGTTGTTTGGAGAGGTGACTGAGGATGAAGAGGAAGCCGGCCCAGACGAAACCGAAGAAGACGACGCAGAGAATGACGATTTGCCAGGTTGTTGCGTGGTTCGAACTCCAGAGGACTGTAACAGGGATTAGTATCTCGATTTCACTTGACAGATGGAAGTTGACTTACAGTTCCAGTTGCGGCCGTAAGGAGCACTGAGGAAGAAGTTTTGGATGATGACGACGGCAAAGTTCCAGAGGACGATCTTGCGGCGGAACACCGAGCGGTAGAAGGACGGAACCTTACCAGGGCTCTGGCGGTAGTAGTTGGGAAGGCCAAAGAACATGAGAAGACCGACACCCCACAGGAATACGGTAATCGGAACACAGATGGCGGTCATCTTCCAGGTGTTGGCGATGTTGTTCTCGGTGGTCAAGAGGCCCTGGCTCGAGGCCTTGGTGAGCGTCGAACCCCAGTACCACAGCGCAATGACATAAGCCTGCTGCGTTCCCTGGATGACACAAGCACGGAAGACCCATTCTTTGACCGGTGCACCGCTTTCATCACCGAAGTTGAGGGCGAAGAAAATCGACCCGCTGGAGGAAGCGACCGCGTAGAAGCCACTGGCGACGTTCTGAATCCATCCTCGGGTGAACTCATCGTGCTCGAAATGGGCGAGGCCGATGAGAAGGAATGCCAGACCGTAGAAGAACCAGGGGACGGAAAGACAGACGATTGACTTGAAGTAACGGAAGACAAACCACCACACGATGGAGGTAATCAGGTAAGTGGTCGCAATTCCGTACAGCTTCTCCGCGGTTTGACCAACCTCGCCAGTCAGCAAGGTGATCTGGTACGAATTGGCGGCGATGATCTGGCCCAAGCCCAGCAAGAGGGAATATACTGGCCAGTCCCCAATGCGCAGCTGCATCCACTTGCGCAGGCCGGTCGGAGGGACATAGTCTTTGCCTAGGAGAAATTCGTCATCTTCCTGGGACTGCTCATCATCCGGGCTCATACGCGACGAGGCGTCATCCCCGTAGTAGGAATCCACAGGCGAAGGACCACGCTTACCACGGAAGACAGATGGAGCGGGCGAATTCAGACGACCCAGCTTGGCATCGCGGAACTTGTCGAACCATTCTTTTTCACTCTTGACCAGGAACTCTTCAATGCAGAGCTGCGACTCGGAGTTGGCGGCGTTCAAGTTCTCCAGACTCTTTTCGAACAAGCGAGCGTAGTCACCATGGCTATCCGTGAAGAAGGGATCCACCTTTTGCAGCTTGAAGTCCTTCTTGTCACCAACGATGGAATCGACGGACAGCACCGAGGCACTGCTCAGACGATTGCCAGGTTCCAGGAATGGCCGGGTGGGGGAGCAAGACCCATATCAGAATGGACGGATGGGCTCGAGGGGAATTGCGCGGAGCGGACAAGTTCTCTCGGGGTGGCACGTCCACTTTGGGACTGGGGGTTGTTCTGGAGTCGTCGACCTTCCTCGGCCTGCTCAGGCGTAAGAGTATATTCATCGTCGCCGTAGTAGTGATCAATGAAATCATCATCACTCTCCTCCTCGATATCAGAAACATCACCACCATCCCTGCGATCGGGCAGAGCAAGGTCCTGCTGTCCCTGTCCACGCCGACCAGGACGGTTGAGATGGCCAGGGCCAGAACGGACACCAAGCGACAGTTTACGGCTCAATCCCGGAGCAGGCTTCTCAGTCATCTCCCGGCCAGCGTTGTTGTTGCTGTAGGAAATGATGGTGTCGCGCTGCTGTGGGCCAATTTCTGACAATTGCCTCAGGTTCACGTAGCTGGCTTCGCGAGAGTGCATGCCAACAGGGGTCTGGGTTCCACTAGCGGGGAAAGTTGGGCTCATAGCACCCAGTCCGCGAGGTGTCATGGGGCCGGTAGGGGTCACGGGGCGATTGTTGGACTTGGAGGCTTCCTTGTTGTGGATTCGGATGGATGTACCCTGCAGGATCTCGAGATCCTCAATCCATTGAGCGACGGGGAACCGCTGCTTGGCTGAACGAGCACGCATCTTAGCACGGACCTCGGGCTTCGAGTTCAAAGCACCGTCAATCGCCAGCTTGAACTGATGGAGCAGATGGGTAGTGGACATCGACTCGACGTTATACCACCAGCCAGGCATCTGACCGAGACCACCGACGCGAGCACCGATACCGAGAGCACCCTTACGGCCGAATTCGACGGCGACCAAACCAAACGGTTCGTCACGAGAGGGGATGAGGGCGAATTCAGCACCAGAGAAGATGTAGGGGGGCAGAGCAGTGAACTGAGGACGAGAGAAGACACGACCAGGATAGACCTTCATCATACGATCCAGCTTCAGGGCAGCGAACTTGCCGTACAGATCGATAACAGGGCCGACACAGATCAGCTGGACGTTGGGACGAGCCTCAAGAACAGCAGGCATGACATCCGCAATCAGATCCACACCCTTCTGCATAGACCACCGACCGACGAACACGAGGAGATCAGCGTCTGGGTTCTGCTCCAGGCCAGCCCATTCTTGAGCCTGGCGTTTGAGCTCCGCGCGACCAGCTTCGAATTCCTGATCGACAGGGGGGTCTTCCCCCTTGGCGAGGGCCTTTTCCCTGTTCCACTCGCCAATGTCCGATGGATCCGGGTTGGGCAGGTTGCCGACCTTTTTGAGACCCCAGAAGATGGGATACCGAGCGTATGAACGTTTACCGTATTTCTTGGACACACCGACAGCACCGAATCCTTGCTGGTGGACACGCAGATAACTGGCACCGGCATGGAGCAGATTGAAAACCTCACCGAACTGAACGTAGCGGCGGGTGATTTCCTTATCTAGGTTGAAAACCGAGCAGACCTCTTCCTTTTCCTTTTCGGTCCGCATGGGCCAGAGACCCTGGAACTCGGCGTTGTGCAGAGACAGACAGGCGGGGATTGTTTGCGGCAGGAGGTAGAGGGGTGCCAGGGAACCGTGGTAATCGTTGATATGGTAAAGGTCAATGGGGAACCGCTTGATAGTCTGAGCAATGCACTGATTCCACGCGGAGTAGTAAATGGCACTGTCGAGGTCATCCATACGCGGTGGGTAGGGTTCTGACTTGGACTGCTGACGGAAGACTGGAGCGTCCAGTAAGACGTAGGTGATATTCTGCAAGGTGTGGTACTGCACCTGGACCTCATATGGCTTGCCCAGAATGGTGACGATCATGGGTTCCGCTGGCCGGTCAACAGGGTAGTCCACTCCGCCGACGCAGGGCACGACCCAGATGAGATCCTGGTGGCCGAGGGTCTTGCCCATCAGTTGAGCCATGACACCGAGACCACCGATCTTGATCTTGATAGCCCAGTCCTCTATATCATATTCCATGGTGGCAATGAGCACCATGCGGCGTTTGGAAGCCGCAGGGCCGGCCGTGAGGTCCGTCGCGCTCTGCAGGAAACCGGACTTGTTGGCCAGACGCATCAGGGGGTTCATCGCCTCACCCTCGCCATTGCGAGCACGCTTTAGCTTCCGCCGAAGGGCCAGGGGAATGAGCGTACGCTTTTCGCTGACACCGACCTGGTTGAACTTGACCTGGTAGAAGGATTTCATGAAGACGTAGACGCATACCACGCCTGTGAGCAGGGGCACAATCCAGAAGAGAATGTACATGGCCATCTGCGTGGTTTGATCTCCGGTAGGTTCTAGTGTATACCGCATGGTCCCGTCGTTGATCGAGATAATCCACGCGAGGTGAGGTGACGGCGGAAGGTCAGTGATATTGATCATGGTCGCCGACAGAGACGACGGGGGCATCCGGTCCAAGACATGGTCACCGTCTATGTCGCCCAGAACCCAGCTCTGGTCCGGCCTGCCATCGGGGTTCATGCCCCAGACATTGATCTGTGCTTGTGCGGGCCACTCGGAGGTGAAGTGGTACTTCCATCGCCCACTGGTGGTGTCTAGCTTGAGCTTGTTGGGGAGACCGCCATCGTAACCAAACTGGTTGAAAGGACCGTTGAAATGGATATGAGGGAATCGACGGGGCACCTTGTGAGGCCAGCCCACATCGCCTTCTTGGTAGTAGTCGCTGCTACCGGTCAAGCCGCTCCAATATTCCACGCGGACGTGTTTGCCTTCCCACTGCTGTCCTTTGGTGCCGTGCCACGGCAGCTCCTCGATGGTGTCGTTACCGCCATTGTACTTGGTCCAGCTCGACCAGGTCGTTCCCCAGTTGGTCGAGTAGCGGTATTTATCCGCGCCTGCAGCGTGGTGCTGGATGAACAGAGTCCCGTTGTCATACTCATGAAGCAAACTAGTCGAGTAGTTGGCTTTGGTGAAGACCATCGGGTTATCGACCTGGCCAATGCGGAAAAGGAAGTGATCGGTGGCGTTGGTGGAGGCGTTGCCACTGCTAGTCTTAGGTTCTTTCACAGTGATTTGGTGGATACCGTTGTAGACATTGGTCAAATCGGCCGTCCACTTCCACTTGCTGGGGATATAAGCAGTCCACTTGGTGGTGGTGTTGGTAATAGCCTCGCAATGGACAGAGCCAGTGTCGATGGACGGGATTTGGAGTGACTCGGTGGAGGAGGTCAGGGAAATAGACTTGGTGACCCCATCGCAATCCATCTCCTCGGAGAACTCCAGCTCAATGTGCACATTCTCAGAAGCATCAGGCGCAACAGTGGAAGGAATTGGAACGTCGTGGCCAGGCGTGAAGCCGGTGATCATCGGGCGAGGCTTGCGATGCAACTCCTTCGGCACGTAGGCCCGGAACTCGAACGCATTGAGGGTCAGATTGCCATGACAGCCAACAGGCAATGTCGCATTTCCAAAGGTTCGTTGGGACGGGCCGGCCGTCAAGGTGAACTCATCCCAGGGGTAAAACAAGTTCTTGACGACGGTGTCGGCAGGGAAGGGAGCGATCAAAGCCTTGTGCTCGTCGCTGCATTCGAACTGGTAATCGACCGTATGGTTGTTGTTCTGGTAGACCATCCAGACAGGCGAGTTCAGGTCATCGGAACCGAAATCCTGCACTTCAAGATCGATTTCGCGACTGACAGACCACATTCCCGTCTCGGTGGCGGTTTCGTTGGAACCCGGGTAGTACACGTCGACGGTCGACTTGGACAAGTTGTTGAGGGTGTAACCGTCATTAAGAACGGGAAATTGCTCACGCAACTGATACATGTGCTTGAGGATGTTGCGCACCGGGTGGGAAGGGTCACGATGATCATAGGCGACAGTATCATCCTGACAACCTTTCCGGCCAGCTTCAATCGGCCACTTGTAGTACTGCGAGGATTCCAGACTGAAGCAGCCATGGTCTCTCCAGGCGGTTGCAGGGGACATGGCCTGACGACCGTAAATATAGTTGGTAGCAGTGGCATCAAGCACATAAAAGGCCTGCTCCTCACCCCAGAGCAATAGAGGGATACCGGGAAGGAGCAATGTTGTGATATAAGTGCCCAACAACTGTCGCTCAATACCCCATTGCACAGTTGGCCACCGGAAGACGTCCTGGTTAGTCGAACCGTACATGTGCCGGGGTCGAACTTGCCCGTGTTCGCATTGACAAGATCGTTCGACCGGAGCATCTGTCGCCACATGTCGACCCAATCCAGCGGGACATCGTACCCGGCAGCGAGATTACCGTCCATCCCCAGGAAACGGGTCAAGGTTCGGTAAACGGAATAGTGGAACGCAGCACTATCAAGGGCTTCATGACCCGCCTCACGCAGGAAATACTGGGCGCTGGACTCATTCGTCATCTTGGGGCCTTGGGCGGGGTCAGGAAGCCACTGGTTCTGCAGCCTGCCTCGTCCGAGATAGATCGAACCGAAGTAATCACCACCGGTAATTTCTCCAGAGATAAAGAAGTTGTTCTTGCCCACGGCGCGGGCACACTCCCGGTATGCCATGGACATTTCGCCGAGAGCATCAACCGTCGCCTGGGTGGCTTTATCGTAGCGGAAACCATCAATATCCAAGGAGGCGATGATTATGCAAGAGTGACGGATCAGTCGCTCTCGCACGTTCGGAACCCATTCACGCAGACGATCCTGCACGGACGCGAACTTGGCTAACTGACGCTGCCAATCGGGGAAAACACCGAACGCTTCAATGTCACCGTACTGGTCGAAATCGCTGTTGAAGCAGCCTACCAGCTGATCGGAAGGAAGCGGGGTACCGTCTTCATAATAGAAACGGGGTAATCGCACGTTGAGTTGTAGTCGTTGCCAATGTCAAAGTCCACGTAGCGACGATCGGTTTTCCACAGCGCCTTGTGCTCCTTGACCGAGAATGGGGTGGTGGTGTTGAGATAGCCTTCGAAGCCAATGAGATCACCAAGACTTGTATTGTGTCAGTCCGCACGCAGAGAATGGGGCCTGGGAAGACTTACGTAGCAATAGTATTATCGAATACCACATACATACCCCGCTTGTGGATCTCCGTGATCGCGTTGCGCCAGGTGTCAAGGTTACCAAAATGCTGATCCAAAAGCGTCGTATCCAATGCAGAGTAACCATCTGCGCCCCAAGGCTGGTTCATGAGGACCGTTCCGGCAAGATAGATGCCCTGTCCGAGTCAGTATCACGTTTCCGCCAGATATCAGTCAAGTCAAAAAAGGCCTACTTTGATCCCCATTCCCTGTAAATAGTCCAAAGTAGCGACCAAACCGGCCACATCACCACCATGACGCATCTGGTTGGAGCTGATATCATGCTCGAACTGCGTCCCGTTGATATTATCATTCTCCGGGTCGCCGTTCACGAACCGATCCAAAAACAGGGTATAGAACGGAAACCGCCAGTTCTCCGGGGAGGGGAAGTATTTGCCCTTATGGTCCGGCCATTCTCCCCAGTACTCCGCCGGGTTTGTGGCCTCTTTGTTCTCGTTGAGGTTGTACCCGACCAGGCTCTCGTCATACGGCCAGCATGATGCGGTTGTCGCAAACCAGGCCAGCAACGCCCCGGTCCATCCCCACTTCATCGTGGGTGGTGGATTTCTGTTCGCTGCTTCTGAGCAATGCGGTGGATAAGAATATGTGGGAATCGACCCATGCACTGGAGGGGGTATCACAATATGTCTGTCGTTATGCGTGTAATGTGCTTTTGCTAGCGACTTTCAGTTCTGATTATGCCAAATTTCTCCTGCGATTTTTCTCTTCGTTTTTCCGTTTCGAATCGTAGATGTCGGATGAGCTGCTTGTTTGTACTGATAACGAGCGATCGACAAAGGCGATAACGGCGGGTTGAGAAAATGTAGGCAAAATTGCACAGCCGACGAAACGAAAGGCTGGAGGGGAAGGGAGTGAGTATTCCTCTCCAAAAAAGCTGAAACGACAGAAACGACAGACAACGAGAGACAGAAAGGGGATGAGGAGGAGGAGGAGAGTTGAGGAGGATTGGGGATAGGAATAAGAGAAGAAACGAGGAGGATCAAAGTTTCTAAAAAAGAAAAGAGATCAAACAAATAATCGGGGTTTCAATGGGGAAATAATAATAATACTCAGACAAGACCGACAAGACAAGACAGACTGGCACACTGACCAAGCGAAATTGCTGTCAATAGACTATTAATATCATGACGAGCTAAGATGGTGATGGGATTAGTGCAGGCAGTAGTAGTATCTCGTCGTTCTGCTCTGCTCATACACTATCCTCTCTCCTATTATTATTATGCGGACCCTCCCAGAGGTTACGACTTTGTCTCTGCGGCGGACTGGATATTAGAGCCGTTATCAAATTGGAAGTAGAAGTACGGAGTAGCAAAGAAGGATTCAGGCAGAAGAGGGGATTATTATTTCAGCACATGGTGATGATGTTTGTCTTATCTCACTTGTAACTTAGGCGCTGTTCTACTCCCTATAAGATGCCATGGACCTCCTCTTTGCCCCTGCAGTCTTCATCTCTTGAGTTTTCAGCCTCGTTCGGTCCCTCTTTTCCCATTCCCACGTTTCTTTTCTTTTTTTTTCATTTTCTTTTTTTTCATTACTTCCTTTTTTTACTAGAGGGGGATCTTGTAGCGTGGAAGTAAGCGGCTCGAACCGTGTATCGGTCTAACAAAGTTGATAGATAGTCGTGGACCATGAAAGCCACAAGGCAGAGCCCCAGCAGACAACCAATCCGACTGCTCGGGCTTGTGGACAGTATCTTACAAGAGGGGACAGTGGCTGAGAGCTGAATGCCAGCTCCCAAGAAACAGAGTTGCCAAGAAGCAAAACCAAGCAGAAAAGCAAATCCGGTGAGCCCAGCATCTTTCAGCCAATACCGAGGCCATTCCCTCTCGTAAAGCTTACTCTGTAATCAGCGTGAAAAAATCTATCCACAGACCCTTCGATTGATTGTTCCATGGGCCAAAGTGGAGCATAAAGTGGATCCCAACGGTGATTTCCTCGAGTCTGGTCCGCGATTCGGGACTAGGCCCTATATTGTGCCCAATGAGCTCAAGCCACTTATAAGGCGTTGAGTCGCTTCTCAATACTGGATCGGGGCGATAAAACGGATACTATAAATACTTTTACTTTTTAGCTAATATAGGTACTAAATGGGTAGCCGAGTGTGCTGTCTGTACTCCGTCTCCATTCTCCTTTTGTGATGGGAATGAGTGATCGCTAAACCTTCGGTAATGGCTATTCCGGGCGATCCGTTTTGTGTAACTTTTTCCGCCAAGAACGAGAGAAGTTTTTGCTTTAGCTGGTCTATATTCTTCATACCCAGTCATTATTGATTTTATCCAGCAACTGTGGGTTTTTTTTGTCGGTTCGTTGAAGTTGATGGGCTGAGAGTTGAGACGGTAGGTAATAGTTTCTCTACTATGTCCGCTACCATGGATAAAAGAGGATAAATGATTGAAACAAATGTCTTACTGTAATGTCCCGGAAGGGAAATAGGCTTTCCTATTGGACTTGAGCGTACAAATCTGCAATGACAGCGCACATATCTTGGACGATGGATGTCCGCTTGTCTCATTATCATGTCAACGACGACGAATCGCGACGAGCGACGGGGTTGAACAGCATCCTCGGGTTTCAATCAGGGGTATTCCTGGTCGGCCAGTCCAATGAGAATGGTGAGAATAGGTCTGCCAAGACTGTTATCTTGCTATGGTTGCATCCTTCGATGTATCAGACCAGACGTCCGTATCATAATTTCTGTGTCGATTAAGAAGATGCCTTCAGGGGTACCTCAGTCTACAAGAGATGAGTTTTAGTCAAAACATTTTCCTCAGAATACCATGGGAAAAGACCTACATTTGTAGATGCATGGCTTCATGAACCATCTGGAGAAAAATTGATTAACAACCGGATCTCCCAGACTGTCAATCTACAGGGTACAATAAAATTGTTATCAGTGGCTCCAGTGATTAATACACTAGCGTGTCGTGGCGTGACGGTGGCGTCGGAGTCGGTCAAAGTGTCAACTCCAGACCCTGGTCTTTACACTACCAGCTCTCAGTCAGTTCGTATCTTGACTTCGAGGATAGGTGCCACAGACTCGATTCTCACCAATACTCCATAAGCATTCTCAGCTGAAAAGTACTCTTTGCAGTACTTTAAATTCCCATCAGTGTAGACAGGCACAATGTTACAGACTTACAGAGGACGTACCACGGATGTCACAGACTGAATACAAGATCTCTGGTTAAGAACCGAAGTAGCCGAGCATCGGTCCGAATGGATCGAGTAAATCCATCTCTCAGACATTTGCTAATAATTACTCAGAATTTTTCCGTGGTCGACTAGGTTAGACTAGGTATTATTAGCTAAGGGTCTGTAACCGAACATCCTAGAACAGAACTGGAAAAGGGGCAGCTGTAAGTTACCATACATCAATTGAGACGGTTACAGACGGTACGTTACCTCATGATTACTTGTAGGTGCGGAGTGGGCGAATCATCAGTGTCATATTTCTGGTATTGTATTGTATTGTTGTTCAAACTTAGTATTCATACTGCGTACAGTATCTATCAGGAACAACGGGATTAACTATCTTGACTGAGCTTAGCCTGGTAATTCGGCTCGACTTGAGAAGTTTGTCCTCTGATGGACAGATTTCTGAACCTGGCAGTCATTGTGCGAGTTCTTTGATGACAGGTGACATAAATGATCCATCATCACGTCAACTACTCTAGATATGTCCAAAATATGAACCCAAACAAGATATTTGTTCCTCATACGGACCAATTAACTGCATTCTTTTCGAATTAGCTTAAGGAACTATGCCTGTTCAAGAGTGCCTATGACTGATCGTCTGAGACATATTTCTTGTCTTGATGTGCAATGGTGAGGTCACATCCAAGTACTCAACTACCTCCTTCCAAGTTATTATTACTCTTTCCTCCTTTTCGGCCAATGTTTTGTTCCTGAACGTCCCATCCCACAAATGTGACGATGTGATGACTTGTGTGACCCGACCGTAAAGATTTCTCCCTGATTGACTGCCATAGATGGTCAGACTTTTTAAGGCCCCGACGCAGCTTAAAACTCAGGTTAATTCAGGTACCAAGTCCTTCCTTGCCACTGTGGACATCAACTGCCTCCAGCCAGTGACAAGCTCTCTATAGAATATGTAGTATCAACGTAGTAGTCTATAATTTGACCGTTGTGTGAGAATAATGACTTGGATGTGTCGAATAAGGCGACATAGGTGGATGGCTAGCTAGAAGAGGAAATGTGGGCGCGGGACCTGAGCCAGAACGGACGACTGAGAACTTGCCTTGAACTCGGACTTGGAAGGCCACTCTGATCTCCCGATGTGGATAGGATCAGCCATGGGACCATCACTGGTTCATGAACACTGCAAGGGACTCAAGACGGAGAACCCCCTCACGAGGGCAATCAACAAGAATCATCAGGTCACCCTATACTGTTAAATACTTTCTGTCCATTGTTTCTGTTATGGATTTAAAGACTCATGCCAATGCTGCGGAGGTGGTCCGAAGCAATATAGCTTAAGACTATATTAAGAAATCGGACGGCACTGGTCGAGTGGTCATTCATGGTCTGGTCCGGCTATGTGCGGGTTGCACCCGGAAGACCCAAGACATGTCCTCACAAACGCAGGTACCAGGCACCACACAGTGTGCTTTGGCTTGTCTTGTCAATTGTGCCTTATCTCTAGGTAGTAAATTCGGTAGAGATCAAATTGAACACACCCGAGTACTATGCAATATGTAAAAGAGCGACTGAAGAGGCAATACATCAACAACCTCAAGACTAACGAACTGATCACATGTCCATCATCGGCCATTTACCAAGGAAAATCCTGGAGAAAAACGGATAGACTAGAATCATTAGAGAGATGGTCCTGATGGTTTTGATGGTTTCCCCCACAATTCCACTCTTTTAATCTAAAGTTTCTGCAGCAAAGCAGGAAATCCTTACCCGCCTGACCTCTCCTTTCTGTTCTCTCCCCTCTCTTTCGCTAACTCCCTTCAATCTTGAGTTCGAGGCCCCTTCTTGCTGCTTCTCTCGTTGGCCTGTTTAATCTCTGTCCCTTCCTTCTCCTACCTTCAGTCATTCGTTCTATATCCTGCCTGCCATCAAGCCCGTCGTTCTTTAACCTGTCGTCCCTCGTTAATTTTGAGTTTATTCCTACAAACTTCCTTGTTCTTTCGTTGTTTTTCTCCAATATTCTAGCCGTCATCGCCAATTTTCCCGCCGGTACCAGTGGTTCTGGGGATATTCGACGAAAATTATTCCCTATCTTGTCAACACTTTGCTTCGACGTATCTAAAACTTGCCAAATCGCCGATGATTTAGTTCTGTTGTGGGACTCTAGAATTTCAATCGAAACGAGACAACTGTTGTGCCAAGGATCAGCACATCGCCCATTTGTTGCATCATACCCCATTCACTGAGTCCTACCTTCAGATCAATGTTCCGACCATGAGTTCGCTTTCGATATCACGGCGATGCATGCACATCGTTTCTCTTTCCCTCCTGGTCGCCTCGTCGCTCGCAGCAAACACGGCACAATGGAAACCTAGAGCCATATATCAGACCATGACCGATCGGTTCGGCCGCACCGACGGGTCGACAACAGCGCGATGCGTTGCATCCGAGAACATTCGTTGCGGAGGGACATGGCGAGGAACGATTGACCATCTGGATTACATTCAGGGGATGGGGTTCGACGCGGTCATGATCTCTCCCGTCGTGAAGAACGTGGAGGGCCGGGTGTCGTACGGCGAAGCCTACCACGGATATTGGCCCGAAGACATCTACAGCCTCAACCCGCATTTCGGCACGAAACAGGATCTGCTGGATCTGAGTGCAGAAGTGCATAAGCGGGGCATGTTCCTGATGGTGGACACGGTCATCAACAACATGGCCTACGTCACCAACGGCAGCGACCCAGCCACGCATATCGAATACTCGACGCTCAAGCCGTTCGACAGTTCCAGCTACTACCACCCCTATTGTGACATCGAAAACTGGGATAATTTCACCGAAGCGCAAAGGTGTCAAACTGGTGATGACGTGGTGGCACTACCGGATCTTTTCACCGAACATCCCGACGTCCAGAGCATGCTGGAGAAATGGGCGCAAGACATGATCTCAACCTACTCGATTGACGGGTTGCGTATCGATGCGGCCAAGCACGTCGACACGGGCTTCCTGGCCAACTTCGGCAAGGCGCTCAGCGACACCTTCATGACCGGGGAGGTGTACCAGCGCCAAGTGGACATCATCTGCGACTACAAGAACAACTACATCACCAGTGTTCCCAACTTCCCCGTCTACTTTTCCGTCATCCAAGCCTTCACCGAGGGCAACACGAGTTCCCTGGCAAACATCGTAGAAGTGATGAAGAACAGCTGTCACGACGTCACATCCATGACCATCTTCACGGAGAGCCACGACGTGAACCGTTTTGCCAACATGACCTCAGACATGGCGGTAGGAACCGACCCCTTCCCCCCAAGGCTACCCCACCCCCGCGGGCCCTCAGCTGATGAACTGAACCCCTGTTTAGCTCGCAAAGAATGTAGTCACGTTCAACATCCTCTTCGACGGCATCCCGATCCTCTACCAGGGGCAGGAGCAGCACTTTAACGGAGCATATGACGCCAACAACAGTAACCGAGAAGCCGTCTGGCTGTCCGGCTACAACACCGACGCCGAGCTGTACAAGCTGGTCGCCAAACTCAACCGCCTCCGCAAACACGTATACAACCTCGACAACAACTATCTCGACATCGAGACATACCCGGTCTACCAGGGCTCCAGCGAGCTCGCCTTCCGCAAAGGCATCGAGGGCCGCCAGACCATCATGCTCCTCTCGACGCAGGGCACCAACCAGAAAGAGCCGTACGACCTGTACCTGCCTGTAAGCTTTAACCCCGGTGTAGTGGCGATGGATGTCCTCAACTGCGTCAACTATACCGTCAACCGGGTCGGTCAGCTCATCGTCCCCATGGACAAGGGCGAGCCCCGCGTTTTCTTCCCCGCGAACCTCATGCCCGGCAGTGGGTTGTGCGGCTTTAGCGACAAAAACATCAGCTATGTCGAGCTGAAGACGGGTAAACCGGCATCGTCAGGGTCTGCGGGGGTATTGTCGATGACGCCGGCGGGGTTACCGCTGGCGATTCTGTTCTCTGTTTTGGTGTCAATAGCCACTGGGTTAGGGTTTGGGTTGGGGTGTTGATTGAAGCATTTTTTCCTTGTGCATACCCTATCTATTTATTCTTCTTTTTTTTCACGTCAGTTCCATGGGATGGCGAATAACTCGGTAATGTTCTGTAAATGCATGCTTATATATTTTTCATCCGAATGTACATACATATAACTTAAAGATGCGACATTTCAGCCGCACCGTCGTTGCCTAGGTTCCTAAGGTATTTATTGGACCAAATCCTCACCGTGGCTCGTGTAGATTCTTCCACTCGCTTAAAGACCCCGTATTCAAATCTCACCATACGCAGCCTCGTGTTGCTCATCACTGTGATGAGGATTCAATCCTGCTCCCACTGGCCGATTTTTGACTTCCGCTAGTTTCCCCCGATCAGCCCGTCGAATCACAGCAGAGTTATACAGTCTTGCATATCAGCCAATCAGATTGGACGAGTTGCCTGTCTCAGGATCGGTGTTTGAGTTTTGGTACCTGATACCATACCTATTCCGTCACGTAATATACACTGGCAATTCGGCGAGATTCTCGTCTTCTGCCATGAAAATATCCGACTTAGCCGCACAAAATGTCTTCCATTGGTCTTGTGGCATAGGTTTCAAATGATTACGTAAGTCTGACTCCTGTAATAAGGTGACCTCCCCCCATACGGAGTACGCAGACATGTGACAGACTGCCTAAGGTACCCACATCCCTGCAATGGTAACGCCTTGCATACGCCTTGAAACAAGTCGTACCTGAAGTATGTGCCCGTCTCGTACAGGATGCAGCACAATGCAATACAAGACAAAAGAAATCTTGAACAATGTGATCTATCAGTAAAGAACACGCAAGGCAAAAGGCAAAAAGCAAAAGCAAAGCATTGCATTAATTATGTGGATAGGATAGATAGTGATAAGGACAGACAGTCTAATAATGCGAATTGCAGATCCTCATATACATACAAAGCAGTACGGAGTACACGTCCAGTACACGGGTTGTTATCTATCTACCTCAGTAGATTTCTGGGGGCGCGAACCGGATCATTCGTTTCTGAGATGACGCAGGTTCACGTTTACAGAGCGAGGGCGACGAGGCCGAGCAGGAGAGAGCCGGCGGGGATGGCGAGCGAGCCGGCACCGTTGGGGAGGCGGCGGCGGTGCTGGTGCTGGAAGCGGAGGCGGTGGTGTCGCTGCCGCTGGGGGAGGAGGTCCTGGAAGCTGCAGAGGGAGAAATGTTAGTAAAATTTCTTGAAGATGCCAGGACAGGCGACTAACCAGTGCCGGAGGCGGAGGTGCTCAAGGTGGAAGCGGAGGCAGAGGCAGAGGCAGAGGCAGTGGCAGTGGCAGAGGCAGAAGCAGTGCTAGAGACTGTACCGGTGCTAGAAGAGGCGGTAGACGCAGATCCAGTAGCAGAGGTGCTAGAAGCAGAGTCGGAGGTGGTGGAGGAGCCGGAGGACTCGACTTTGAACTGCTGGGACTGGGCAAGGATGCCGGAGTTCTGGGGATCCTTGGAGACGAAGTTGACCTGGTAGCCGGATCTAATACAGATCAGTATATGATAGTGTATTGCGAAGTCAATAGACGTACCCGCTGTCGGCGGAGAGACCGTCAATGGTGTAGGAGCCGTCGCTGGTCTTGACGTTCTCGGCGACCAGCTTGTTGACGGGAGGGTAGGAGTTCATCTTGACGAGGTAGATGTCGAAGGTGGAGGGGTCAGAGCTATGCTTGTCAGTATGCAACATACGATGACGGTATACAAGTCAAGTACCTAACAGAGCTCCATTCGACGGTGGTCTTCTCGCTGAGGTCGACATCCTGGTCCTTCTTGGGAGAGGTGATGGACAGAGCGGCGACAGAGCCGACAAAGGCAGTGAGAGTCAGAGCGAAACGCATTTTGATAGTGAGTGATTGAAAAGTAAAAGTATATCCGAATGTATTAAAATTAAATATGGCTGTGGAAGTCAGACAAACGAGTGACAGGTAGTGAAGTGATTGATGAATGAAGATGAAACAGAGAGCGCCGAGGACAATGGGAATTGATATTTTATATCTACCTTACCATCGAGTCGTACGCGGAGCAGTATCCTACAAATTTATAAATAGCAGAGACACCCCATATTATCTGGCCATGTCTTACTCTTGCAGAGCCCTATCACAGCATCAGGAACCAAGGGTGAGTCAACTATGAACCACTCCTCCTATCGGTCAGGTATCCATCAGCCGTGTTTGTTGAGATGCAATCGATGGATCTAAATCGATGGATCTGATGGGAATCAACCAGAGCAATCAATGCGAGTCTATTCTCAGTACATTTAATTTTGTATACACAGTAACCTTACTCGGGTTAATGCAGCCTGAGCTTCTATTCCAGAAAGCCCACGCACGCACTACAGGGACCTCCATCAGACCCTGATCGTATCCACAGGGCCAGGATCCTTGCTTGATGCCCCTCGGCCCCTTCAATCTCCTTCAATTGCATCATAATTACCAGCATTCGAACTCTGCGCGTTCAAAATATCCCCCTGTTGAAGCCGGACAGTTATTCGAACCTTCGCCGCCAAGTAGCAAAGCTGCAGGATTTCGTGTAGCTGTAGCAAAGGGTCGGGCCACTGCGCCTTGACCTCTCCAATCAAGAGCAGTGCAACAAAACATGTCTTAGGGTGACTACCTGACTATCAACAAGGGTAATATCGTCAATGCTCCACAGCATCCTGCGCCCTGTCTGTGTCCAACCTGGATCCCGATGGAAGGATTTGCCTCTGGTTAAGTCCCAGGCGGATTACCGGATTGGTGTACTGCACTAGGGCTCCAATATCTGTGGGATTTTGCAACAGTAATACAGGGAAATAAATGAAGCAATAATCATTTTACTTGGTTTTGCCGAAGAGGATCCTTTGACCAGTGAGACAAGACCAATCAGATTCTGTCTCCCGCTCAGTTTCTGAGAGAGTTTGCTATTGTCCGACCCAGACTTCACTGTTGCAGAGATTTCCTTGACGATACGGTGTATTGTACGTTACCTACTATTTCAGAATACTTACGTGTACTCCTCCGTACCGTTTATGGGCCGTAATTGTAAGGCAGTCCTAAGCTAACAGGACGCACTCTCATCATGCTTACGCAGAGTAAAAATCTGTTGGCCTATGATTATGTCTTAGTCTACTCAGTAGTATCATTAGGCTATTGAAGCCTATTATTCCGTCATGACTAATGGTTTATGATTCTTACCTTGAGATTAGCAGTAGGGTGGATATACAGAAATCAATGTAATGGTCCAGCAAAGGGCATACCGGACATAACGAGGTCTTCTATTTATGGAGTAGATCTTCTGGTTTCCGAGAATTGAAGCCCTTCAGACCCAAGGCACGCCGCGCAACAAGTGGCTCGGTACTATTATTGGGTCCCCGGATCGATGTGCTTGTTTCGGTGCTCTCCGAACCTGAACTCAAAGGTACATCCGCAGTTCTGCGGGCCATCCGGGTGGCAAGTGCACATGGCGAATTTTGACTGATTTCTGTCCTGGTTCCGTCGGCTTATGCCGCCTTGTCAGTGGGACTCCGTACTCGACTGCTTGAGGCCGAGATGAACTCCTCGGAGCAGACTCGGCAGCGTACTGCTTAGAAATTATACCAAAATAGCAGTACAAGCATTATAGTAGCTTCTTTACCATATTATGGTTTCCTCAGGCACCGTGGTGTTGCTGCGGGAAGGTCAAGGGACTACTGTGAGAATCATGGGAGTATGCAGGTTGATACACACATAGAGAGTTGACGGATTGAGGACTACCAAGCATGGCCAAGCCTGTCATGGAACTGCAGAACGCGTCTTCTTGAAACTGATATCTGTGTGTTTGACTATGATTTGATACCAACTCGATGCTCACTTCACCAATAGGCCAGTTGCATTGGATATCAGTAGAGTATTAGATTATGCTAGGTGCTCCAAAAGATAAAAGAAATAAAGAATCAAGGCATGGCAACTTATTCCAGAAGCAAAATCGTGCCTATATTGAGCAGTGTTCTGCTACTGAAGGTAATGGGGAGAAATATATTTTGATGGATCGTCCAAGACGCCCCCTAGGCATGCTGAAAGTTTTGGATCCACGACTCCTAAAGAGAACACTGACATGATAAATCAAATGCCTATACTAGTAACCATGTCTGTATACAACGGGTAATGTAATTCTTCATGTATCTGACGCACTTGAAGGTATTCCAGGTGTGTTGATGTTTTACTGTGCATAACGGGAATATCTTGGCACTGATTGATGGAGATGCTGCCTGCTGTTGCCTGCTGCCGTGGCAATATTAATATTCGAGCAACATTCATGAACAATACGGAGTATATGATTCAGAACCACTGTCCATTCTGATACAGAAATCAACCTTACAAATGTCTTCCTCCATTCCACCACTCCCTCCCAATTACCGTCTTCATGATGGCTACCCCGCAGTCTCAGATTATCTCCACCTCCGCGCCGCTTCAGGTCTCACCCCCAAGACCAAGGCACAGGCAACTGCCGTAGCTCAGGGCAGCTGGTACGGCTGCTACGTGACTTTCGAAGATGAATCATCAGGAACATCGACTCCCGTGGGGATGGGCCGTATTATCGGCGATGGCGGGTGGTATTTCCACATCGCCGACATGGCAGTCCTGCCGGATCATCAGCGAAAAGGATTGGGAGACATCATTCTCAAGACGCTTCTGGCGAAGATTCGCAGTGAAGCGCCAGAGGGGAAGCCGTATGTGAATCTGTTAGCTGATCCACCCGGGAGAAAGCTGTATGCGAAGAATGGGTTTGTGGAATCGGCGCCAAAGGAGCTTGGGATGATGATGGTTATGGATAGGGATGCAGCGTCGAAATGATTGAGAGTTATTGATGTGGATATGTATATGAACGAGAAGTGTGATGTTGCTCGTCCCTAAAGGGTTTCTATGATGGCTCTCGTGTCGAGCTTCAAGGTGCGCGTATGGAGAGAGGCAATGTCGCTACTGTCGGTATGTGCGTGTGAATGTGCCTTGTTTCTAATTCGTTAGATTAGAGGCAATGGAGTGTCAGTACTAAGCTGATAGATAATTATCCTTCATACAAGTTCTTGGATAATAGGGATGGCTTGCTGTCAAATTGGCCAGTCATGAATAGATACGAGAACCCACTATCAACACCGTCAACGCAAAGGGGCAATAACAAGACTCTGTCATTGATATGACCAATCAAATTGCTCGTGTTCGAGCCAGTTCTTTGACTGTGTATATAAGCTCAAAATAATTCCATCAGGATAAAAAAGCAATGCTCACCATCCTTGTTCAATTCCTCCAACAGCCATTCAATTGCTCCTTTGGCTGCTCGGTTGACTTACCTGCACACTATCATGGCACATACTGTCATCTCGCCTGCCATCTTCTACTGGGGCACCCCGGTCGTTCTTGTGACAACAGTCAACGAAGACGGAACGCCGAACATCGCGCCTATATCATCAGCGTGGTGGTTGGGAAACCGTGCCGTCATAGGGCTGGGACGGAGTTCACAGACAATCGCCAACATCATCCGCACGCGACAGTGCGTGCTCAATCTTCCGAGCGATGATATGGTCCAATGTGTTAATGCTCTGGCCCGAACAACCGGCACCCAAGAGGTGCCGGCAAGCAAGGCTCAGCGAGGCTATCGGTACGAGAAGGACAAGTTCGGCATCGGGGGATTGACCCCGGTGCCTTCGGATCTTGTACAGCCTCCGCGGATCCAGGAGTGTCCTGTTCACATGGAAGCTGAGGTTGTTGATACCCATGGGCTTTTCAAAGACGGACCGGCCGAGTTGCAGGGATGCGTCATGGCGATTGAGGTCAAGATCTTAAGGACTTATGTTATGGACGAGCTGAGACTTCCTGGGTATGCAAATAGAATCGATCCTGATAAATGGAAACCGATGATCATGTCGTTTCAGAATCTTTACGGATTGAAGGATGGGAAGCTGGCTGAGTCGACACTTGCAAAGATTGACGAGGAGAGTTACCGTGTATAGATTAAAACCTCTGAATGTTGTGAATCCCAGTTGTCTGTCTCATAGAACATGTTATCCACTTCATCAGTTTCTATACTATAATCTAATCTCTTTACCTCCTGCTACATAGTGCATCCCCGGCGCCCCTCCCCCTTTCCAATCATTGTGCCCAACCACTACGTCGTCCCGGCGAAAGCAGGGCCAATTTCCTGACCATCAAGCATAGCATTCAATTCAACGAGAGTCGGCTTACAGGCTTTGAGACGAGTGGATATCAGTACCATACCAAGACATAATGAGAGGTTAAATGAGACAGAACAGACGTTGGAGGAGTCACAGTCTGAGACAACGGGGTCATCAGGTGTCGCAAGAACTTTGCTTCACTGCGGGTGCTATGAAGACTGTGAACTAAGCATTCTCAAAAGTCTGATTGAGTAGGCAGACGTGGTTCCTGAATGAAGTATATAGAAGGTTAAGTGTCGTTCCTCAACAGATGGTATTTCGACAGATGGGGCTGGCTGGCACATGAGCCTTTGATCGGATGCGTGGCTAGGAATGAATCCTCGGCTGCAACTCATCAAGTTCGTCTACAATCGTGTTCGATGCGCTTCCGTTTGGAACTGTATACTCCTGAGGCCCCGAGGCAACCATTTGTTTATTGACCCGGATTGACACCTAGACACTCTGGTTCACCGATCCAAGAATAATACAGCCCCTTTCCCTGGAAGCCGAAGCTACATAGGCTCCCAAGGCACGCCAAGTGAAGGGCGTAGTGTCTCTTGGGGATGCCTTGTGAATCCTCGTGCACTGAAACATGAGACTTTTGGAGCCAACTTGCCAAACCATGATCATTGGTACCGTACTAACTGGCTGGTGCTGTGTGCTACGTGAAGAAAGAGAAGGCAGCAAAGGCAACTGCTACTAGATCTACATACCGCCAAAAAACTGCAGATGAATTGGTGCAAGATGCTGCCCAGGCAGGCGAGACTTGCCAACTGGGAAACCGCACGATAGCGACTCCCAGGTTGTTTTGACCCATTGTATATCGCCACTGTTTCTTAGACCTAGAACTTACAAACTCTCTAACCGAGACTTCTCCAAGGGCCTCTTATTCCTCCTCGCAGCAGTCGACTCCGATTCACTTGAATTCCAGCGAGTCACCAGTTCCCAAGGGGACGATCTCATCACAAGTCAGAGCTCCTTGCATCATCAAACAAAACCCATCCAGCATTCATGGCATTAACAGCATCGAAATCCTCTCCTCCAATGCCCAGCTCCCACGACTTCTATATATCTTGCGACCGATATATTTTCCCGATCCTGCTACACAGTGTTATCGCTCTCACCGCCATCCAGTACTACGTTTTTCAAGAAGACTGTGCTCCGAGTCACCTGCTTCGTACCAATGTCGACGTCTGCGTCACGCTTGCCCTAGACTGGCATCAAAGGCGAGCTTCTGACAAGCGCACCCTTATCAATGTGTGTCACGGTATACTCTTCGTACTACTCCTCGCGCTATTATGTCTGGGCATTCTGGATATTCTCGGCTATTTCCTGGGACTTCCAACCTTGGTCAGGGGCCTTTCAGACCAGCAGAGTTGTCGACATATGACTGGCGCTTTGGATAATGTCAAATGGTCGTTCTATGCTACTGGCCAGCACTGCGATACGACGGCTCAGGAATCCACTATTCAAGGGGCTATCGCCGAGTAC